CCCTCTCGTTCTTTTATCTACTTGATCGGATTTTATATGACTATAGTGGAAAGCTTATATAGTACGGAGTAGAAAATTTGGAAGTCTACGAAAAAGAAATAGCTGCAGGTTTATAAAGGGCAAATGATTTATGTTAAGAAGAGCAGACTTTATACTAGTGAGTTCTTTCCTTATACTTTTATGTTGATAGTTCTTCTCTGGTTATGCCTCATAAACATAGTATATATATTCATATTTAAGTGAGAATCAAAACGTGATGTAAATTCATTTGGAAGTAAAATTATGTTTATCCTTTTCCTTCTTCATCTTTCTTAAAGGAAAATATAGCTATAATTTTCTGATATGGAGGATTCCAATTCTTGGGCGACCACAGAGCATACTTCTTATAGTTTTTAAATATATATATATATATATATATATATATATATATATATATATATATATATATATATATATATATATATAGGGGTGAGATCACATACAAACCATGCTTAATTTACTAACCTACAAACTCAATAATATGCAACACTTTGAACTTCAATATGCAGTACAAATAATGTAAAGATGCACTCTTTGAACTTCAATATGCAATACAAATGATTTAAATATGAAATTGCTATTTTATGACTTAAATAATATGAAACACTTTGAACTTCACTGTGCAATACAAATAATGTAAAGATGATTGAATGAGAGTACTAGTTTGTATGCGATCTCACCACTGCATCTTTACATTATTTTTACTGCATATTGAAGTTCAAAGTGCCGCATATTATTGAGTTTGTAAGTTAGTATTTTAAGCATGGTTTGTATTTGATCTCTTATATATATATATATATATATATATATATATATATATATATATATATATATATATATATATATATATATATATATATATATATATATATATATATATATATATATATATATATATATATATATATATATATATATATATACACACATGTTTATACTTATCATCCTCTGATTTTTTAATTTCAGACAAGTTGATAAATTCGTGAAAATATATACCTGCTGGGAAGATGATGATTTCAGGGATTTGGAGCAAACTCATGCTGATAACGTATTATGATATGGAAGGAAATAAGCAGAAGATCAGAGAGAGAAAATATAGTATGAAAACTTAGTGATAGAGGTGTACTAGAGAGTGTGATAATGGTGTAATCAAGGTGTATTTACAATGAAGCAAAGAACCTCTATTTATAGGCTAAACAAGTGATTAGCTCAAGATGAAGGATTAATATTAGCCACATAATCATTATCTAGAAATCATAATTGTGATTTCTAGATTATCTTGATAATGATAATAATGACTTATCAATCATGAATAGTTAGGAAATGACTAATTCATTATATTTCAACACAGATCTCATTGTTGACCTAGCAACTTGATGGATCAATTGGTGAGCTTACATAGTGGGGGGTCAACCCCCATTACTTTTGTTTTATGATCTAACTTGACCCTACATTGTGGGTGCTCTAATCATGCATCCTCCATCATTTTCCATCCACTCTCCTACCCATTTGGTTGCATAATTCGTGGGGTGGCTCCCACCCATGTGGGAAGTCATCCCTAAATCTCCCGAAGTGTGCACTTGGTCACGAAAATTGTATTTTCCGGACTATTTTAATTAAATTTCATTTTATCGGACCATACAAAATATATAGCATTCTTCCGATTAATATTGTCCTATAGAATGAATATATATTACCCCACTTTAACTTAGTGGTCCCCTGAATGTATTTCAGACTGTTATCTAATAAATCACCAATACCGGTAATGGGACCTCGTTTGATTATCGGCCAACTCTATGGCTAAACCTGAATATAAGACATCATATAAATATTATCTAAACCAAGATGAATATAATATGTGTTCCCGGAAATACCGGATGGTCCCCGCCCCCGTGTGGGCCCAACGTGCATTTTACGGTTCACGTAACAGTAAAAATGAGAACGCATTGTCTCGTTAATTCACTCATCATTCCTCATGACCCAATATGTGGGTTGTAGTTTGTTTCACTTTAATAAAATGTTACACTTCTTTTTTAAGTGGTCCGAAATGTATGAACAGATAAAATCTTATATCTTTATTTCTATACCAAAATATCTTCAAGGTAGGGTCCTCCAAATCATCTCATTATTTTGGATTGTTAAAATATTTATATTTCTTTCGTTATTAATTCGTAGCCTTCCAAATTATTACCAGTCTGATAATTAAGGACTCTCCACTATCGAATAATGGTCCCGACCTGCTTGGTCGTACATTTGTCGCTCTTTATATCACTGGGGTCCACGACCCATTCCTACTATCATAATCGTATTGTTTGGATCAACCTTGATATCTTATACACTAAGAATAGCATGGGTGGTTCCCGTTCCCGATGTGAGTCCCACGTGTAGCTTTACTACACAATAAAAGTTAATTAGTAAAAATAAATTTACCACACCTTCCTATCAAGGTGTTATTTATAATTTACTCAATGTTACTTGTGAACCTTTCTGGAGGTGGTTTTACACATACACCTCTATGTGGGTCCCACATCTGATTAATAACCCTTTATTAATTTAAGATAAGAATTTTATCTTTCTCAATTATCAAGACTACCTTAGTCTTAATTTACCTTCTTTAACCATGTACTTGATGAAAAAAAATTCCCTAGGTAAAATTCTAGTATGGTGTTACACATTAGATGACATGTGTGATGATCAGGTATACCCTGTATATCATTAGGTATAACTACTTTGTTTTACGTTTTTATAAACTATGATGTCATAATACTTTGTATTATAGATGACGTTAGGGCTGGAATTTTTAACCGAAAAACCGAAAACCGAACTGAAAAAACCCGAACCGAGCGAAAAAAAAATCGAACCGAAACCGAACCGACTTGATTGGGACCCGAAAGTTGGGACCCGAATAAAAATCGGTTCGGAACCGGTTCTTTGATATTGAAAATCGGTTCAAACCGAGCCGAACCGATTTATTTATTAAATAATAGTTTTAAATTATTTTATTTAATTTCTTTAACTAATGTATGTAATACATTTGGCATCCCAACTTGCCAATAATCCGGAGTAGCTCAGCGGTGACAGGTAACACGCTCCCTTCGTGTCACCCGTGTTCGAATCCCCCCCAGAACGGATTAAGTTAAACCTTTTTTGCTTTTCTTCCGCCCCAATTCTTCCAATTTGATTTTCTTCAGCCTACAACTCGTCCCACACCGGATGAAATAGAGGATTCACTCCTCATTTGAGCCTATATAATCGCTCCTTCATAGTTGATAAAGACTAAGTTGCTAGTAAAGCATGAGTGCGAGTATTAGCTACAATATAAACAAATATTGAATACCCATTCGGTTTTTTCACAAAAACCGAAAAACCGGACCGAAAATTCGGTTTCCGAAAAATTGGGTCCCAACTTAGATCGGTTCGGTTTCGGGTTATAGAATATATGAAACCGAAAGATCGGTTCGGTTCGGATATTTCCTATTTCCGTTCGGGAACCGAACCGAATCCAGCCCTAGATGACGTGGATGTCATACACTCATGAGATTCTAGGACAGTTGCCTCATGTTGGTCAAGAGCACACACAGACATGGTGAGCACGTGTGCCCTTGATTTGTTTTGATGTAGTTGAGCATCACTTCCCGGATTGCGTACTACGCCAATTCAGGTTGCAACAGGTTATTTCCGCACCTTGTGATACTTCTGTGAACTTACACAAGATCGGCAGAAGAGGGAAACACACCGAAGATTGGGGGATGTACCATATTCAGTAAGTCACCACGTGGGATGAGAGAGCTGCGTATATAGTGAACGAGACCCCATTAGTAGTCCCCACAATCTCTACAAATTACATGGGATGGTATCACACCATCACACGAGCGTTCATCTCTCCCAGTTTTCGTCTACCCACCGATCATTACCAGCCTAGCTCAGTCGCTCTTCATATGACGGTACACAATATATTCACATAAATCACTTTATTCATTCATTCATTCATTCATTCATTCATTCATTCATTCATTCATTCATTCATTCATTCATTCACTCACTCACTCACTCATTCATTCATTCATTCATTTATTCATGTGTTTATCACTAATAGTCATGCTTTCATTACAGACACGAGCTTTGCATACTATCCATGATAGAGCGACTGTTGTACAAAGATATCATGAGGTATGCTCGGGCATTGCTGCACTGTGTGCTGATGTATTGAGCCGAGTACACCATGGCTATGTGACCGCCTCTCAGTATTCCACAACATCTACATCCACAACAGGGTCTTCCCAGACACTACGACGTGATAGGGTGGTTCTTCAACCTCGTAACCAGCGCAGACGCCCCCGACCTTTGGCACAACCACAACCACATGAGCTTTATGATGATGATCATGTTCACTTGTGATATTTGTACTGTACCTTATTATGTGAAACATGAACTAACTGCTTGAATTGTTTTCTGAAACACTGGATTTACTATCAACTCTATGTGATATTTCTAGTACTGTGATCCAATGTAGTTCTATTGATTCATTTTATGTATCGGATATGTTTTGTTTTTTAGCGACCTATATTGACTTTAAAGAGCAGCTATTTGATGTTTCTGAGTTGATTGTACTGTACTGAGCGGGTTTTTGGTTTTTTTCGGTTGAATAAGCTGTTGTGGAATTTACTATGCAGAGGAGCCATCACTTGGAGTGGCGGCTTTTGTACTATATAGAATAACCACCACTTCAAGTGACGGGTTTTGTAATGTATAGAAGAACCCCCATTTCGAGTAACGACCTTCTTTAACTGTGACTAACTCCAAGATTCTTTTGAGAATTATTTTTGACCTAACAATATTTTTAGATTTTTTTGATAAAAAGCAATATTTTGAAAATGATTTATTTAATCAACATTATTCCCGAAAAAAAACTCTATAGATAAAATTTCCCTCCATGAAAACTTACTAACAATGGTCTAATCCAATCATCAGCCCAATGCAAAATGATGGCCCAATTTGCGAATGATCGGACACATCTGTCCTAACCCAGGTGGACGTTGATAGGACCAGCAAATCTGTCGCAGTGACTTCCCCCAAACGAAGGAACCGGAACGGATCTGCGATTACTGAAGCCATTATGCAGACAGTTCGTTTTCCATATCCCAAATTCCAATTTCTCTAAGCTAAAACCCTGGCAGATATCTTCATTGTATATTCCGATCCCGATTTCTGATCGCCTTTCAATATGGTTGTCTGTAAATGCCGGAAGGTAACGGCTAAGTAATTCTTTCTTTATATACATGATTACATGCATACATACATCAGTTTGTAGAAATTAGATCTAGATTCAGTAATGTGCAATCTGATGTTTTTCTCAAACTGAATTTGAATCGTTAATTGGTCAATCTTCTTATTACGGAGTATTATTTCTAAATTAATAAATTTTTGTTGATGAAACTCGTGACGAGCTAGCGTGTAGCTGGATTTCAGTTTATCAATGACCTTATGAAATGCGCTATAAGAGGAGATAAAATAAACTGCAGCTAGCTTTATCTCTTTCACGTTAGTGATCACCGAGCCAGGGCTATTTTTTTTGTGATCACACATTGCGTGCAAAAGTTTCAGGTTAGCAGTTTACAATTGCTTTACCAGACCACTAAGTAGCGATTCTGTGAATTTCAGGCAACTAAGTTGTACTGCTTTGTACACAAGGTTCCAGTCTGTGGAGAATGCATATGCTTCACTGATCATCAAATATGCGTGGTATGGTATAGTTTTCTTTTCATTTTCATTTTATTTATATCAAGTTGATGAAGTTAAATTTTGAACACTTCTTATTTCCCTTATTCTAATTTGAAAATAATGCCATCACTTCAGGTCCGCTCCTATTCAGAATGGGTCATAGATGGAGGGTATGACTGGCCTCCAAATTGCTGTTCCTGTGCTGCTGTGCTTGAAGATAAAACAGATGCTCAAACTACTCGATTGGGCTGCCTGCGTATGTTGCTTCTACCAGTCGAATTTCACTGACAGAAATTTCATGCAATATTGTGCATTCCCATGTAATCTAACATTTTATTGTTTGCTTTTCATAGATGTTATTCATACAAATTGCTTGGTTTCACATATTAAAGGCTTTCCACCGCAAACTGCTCCAGCTGGGTATGTCTGTCCGGCCTGTTCAACTTCAGTAAGTTTTACTACCAGAAGCAAAGCAAAAAGTGTGGGTGTTGAAATTTTCCTAGTGCTGGCAAGTGAATCTTGATTTCCTTTAGATCAGTATATGCTGATTTGAATTGCCTAGAGCTGGAGTAATAATCTATTTCCTGAAGTCCATACTGTAATCTATAAGACATGATTTTAGCTTTCACAAAAACCAAGGAAATGATAAAAAATGAAAATAGTCTTCACTTTCCCTATATACCCTTGAGTCTTGAGCATAGTTTTCAGAAGGGACAATTTTGGAAGAAAAGTTTATTGATAATACAAAAGTGACTTACATATAGAAGCACCCTAATACAACATCCAAGACTTAGTCCCAAAAGAGTTTGAGGTCAGCCAACATGAATCGACATACAAAATCAGAGGTAAAAAGGATTAAAAAAGAAAAAGATAAGATAAGATAAAAAAGATAGTATAAAGATAAAAAGATAGAATAAAAAGGATAAAAATGATAAGATAAAAAAGATAAAAACATAAAGAACGTAAGAAAGACAAAAAAAGGGATAAAAAGATAAAAATATAGAAGTATTTGTCTTGAGGCTAACTTGATCAAATAACAGAGTCAATGGTATGATCAGTTTTCTTATCACAAAGCTGGCTTGGTGAGTGCACAACTTGGTACTTGCTAGTGGCGAATGAGGTCATGGATGGAGGAAAGTCGACTTTGTATATAAATTACAATGTGCAAATAGCATCATTCTTTGATATTGATGAACACGTGCTAAATAGGATATGAGTTTTAGTCATCCTTACGGTTCATTCTGAATATTAATTCTTTCCAACATTATGCTGTAAACTATGGAGGACTTCTTATGTCTTAACTTGGTTCACTGATTTTTTTCTGTCCTATTCCAAACACATTACTTAATAGTCCAGATACAGAGCTATACTAGCTCTCAATCTCTCATATAAAGGAAGCATGTCTGAAAATTGAGAAACAATAGCGAGCCTTTACGAATAGCATGATTTCTGATATATGAATATATGTGTTTAGGCAATTATTTACTATAGTTCATGGAAACTAAACATATATGGAGTATATGATGCATTGATTATTCATGGAAACCCAGCATTTGCACTGTGCTGTGATTTTCTGCCCTTAATCATCACTATGACTTAGAGTTGCTTCTATTGCTTCAGATATGGCCTCCTAAACATTTCAAAGATTCAGGATCGCGTCTTCATTTAAAACTGAAAGAAGCAATAGTGCAGGTGAGCATTTTTGTTGTTGTTATGCGAGCTGTTTGCGCACTTCCTTTTCAAATTCATTCCATTTCCTTTTTGTTTGAATGATGAATCTTCATTTCCTCTATTCTTTTTAGGAAAAAATAATAAAAATACCCCAAACTTTGAAGGGGTGTGAGGTAAACACCCCAAACTTGCACATGTAATTTAAACACCCCAAACTATATACAAAAAGTTATTTTTGCAACATCGTCATGTATTATTTCTTTCAAAAACGTAAATTTACGGGGTTAATTGCATAATTTAAAACAACAAATTAAAAGTGTTTCAATTATATAGATTGAGGGTAACATTATTTATTTTGCAATGGAAGTTTAGAATGTTGATTGTGCCTTCATGAATTATAAAATATTTTAAATTATGCAATTAACACCATAAATTTACATTTTTGAAAAAAATAATACTTGACTATGATGCTAAAATAACTTTTATACAAAGTTTGGGGTATTTAAATTACATATGCAAGTTTGGGGTGCTCATCTCACACCCCTTCAAAGTTTGGGGTATTTTAATTATTTTTCCCTTCTTTTTATACAAACTAAATAAAACCATATATCTTGCCTGAGCTTTTTTGTTATAAATTTTATTGTGGTCCAGACTGGCTTGGAAAAGAATCTGTTTGGAAATCATCCAGTTTCATTGCACCCTACAGATTCTCGAAATCCTCCACCTGCTTTCGCTTCAGATCCATTGAAGCATTTTTCTGAAGCTGGAGCCTCTGGGATAGATATAGCACCTGGCATGGAGGCTGCTGAAACTGGTTCCCTAAAGCCCTCAGCTCTTGGTATTGTTGAAATAGATGGACCAAACTCAGCTGCTGCTCATTCCAATCATGAGGCGAGTTTCACCCAAAGCTCGAGCCCTCCTGCTGTAAGCAAGTATTACTGCAATTTGTACACACACGCGCTCACACACACTAGTAGGGTTTTCTAATGTGTGCCTATGGGCACATGGTAGAGATCAATTAATGTGGCTCAATTTTAAGTTCAATGAAAAGTTTTGATCTTTTCAAGGAAATATGTAATGTATTGTGCAATTATCTCTACTGTCAGTAATAGTTCAAGAAGGTTATGAGCATTATCTGTTCACTGTGGGATGAAAAAGGAACGAATAATGGATCCCTATTATGTGCTGATGTGAAGTTGTGCACACTTACAAAAACCTACTTGTATGATACAGTCATACAGTAGAGCACTTACAATTGCTTATAGCACTATAGCATGGCTTGAAACAATACACATGCCACATAGGAGATGTGTACAGTTGTTCTTATATCCTCTCTTTATGCCTCTTACCAGCCGGGGGCCACCACAAGAAAGAGCACACGACAAGCAGAAAGACAAAATTCTGAAAATCCATACTACGGTGATGAAGAAGATGGGAACCGCAGAAAGTACACAAGAAGGGGTGAGAACATTATTGTTTGAGTATGTGTTTTCTGTGAGTGTATGTGTGTTTCCAGTCATAAACTAGAGTCTTCAGGTTAAAGGAAAGTTAACTTGATCTACATATATGGCAAAGTTTTCTCTTCCCTTGGATAGCTTTGCTCATTAGGTATATACTCCCTCCATCCCATAAAATAATTCCCACTTTCCTTTTTGGGCTGTCCCAAAAAATAGTTCCCATTTCCCTTTTTGGAAAGTTTTGTGTGTTTACCTTTTTCTTACTCAACCACAACCATACATTTCCACTTTATTCCTACTTTCTTAAACTCTGATCCAAATCGGAGTGGGAACTATTTTATGGGACGGAGTTCATGGAGGTAGTATACATCATCATGGCAAGGAAGTTATGCTATATTACCAGTGACATTCTATCTACACTCTACAGGTACACTTCCACACAAATTCCTAAGATCTCTACTGCCTTTTTGGTCAAGTGCATTACCAACACTACCTGTAACTGCACCACCTAGAAAAGAAGCATCCAACGCTGCAGATGGTTTGCCAGAAGGCCGGACACGCCATCATAGATCATCAAGAGTAGATCCAAGAAAAATCCTCCTCTACATAGCAATCATGTAGTGGTTTCTGTATCTCTAATCGGCTTATTTATTACTATGTATATTATTAATGTATTGTTTTTTGTGTTAACTACTTCCCTGGCATTGCTCCAACCAACAAAAATTAATATCCATCTATCTTTAATCTTGATATATCTATTGGTACTCCTACTACTTTGTGAGAAGTCATTTTAAGTGATGGAAACCTGGTTGGGGCACAAACAATTAAATAAAAGAGAAGAGAATAAAGTACTCATTGATTAGCTGGTCTTTTTAGGTTGGTAAATATGCCTTTATATGTGAGAACCTATTTTTCAGATCAGAGATTACCCTATTTTTTTCCACAAGCAGTTAGGAAATCTGGTTGGCACAATTGCACAAACAATTAAGTCAAAGGCAGAAGACCACAAAATATCTGTTACTAGGCATGGACCGGTTCCGGTTCGGGCCTCGGTTCAAGAAGGGGAGGCCCGGAACCGGCCCGGGTAACCCCTGGGTCCGGGCCGGGCCTCGGTTCTATTTTTTTTTTTTTGGCTTTTCCTAGTTAACCCCCAACCCTTCCCTCACCCCCAAACCAACCCTAACCACCTCAAATGGCCCAAAATACCCAGCCCAACCCAAAAACTTAAAAAAAATTCAAAAAAATAAATAAATAAATTGGCCCGGCCCAGGCCCGAACCGGCTGGGCCGGTTCACCTTTTGAAGGGCCCGAGCCCGAACCGCCATCCCACCGGGCCGGTTGGCCCGAACCGGGCCCGGAACCGGTTCACCGGGCCGGGCCCACACAGACTGTTACTTGAATCCTTTCAGGCCTGTAATTGCTCCCAGATTCAGAATGATGGCACAAGAAAAACATTGCATTTTTTTGGTAGGGTTCTATTTTGAAAGCCTGTTCTCAGTATGCAATAAACATGGCTGGTCTTGTATGCAGGGCTTGCATGGCAACAATGGGTATTTTGTATTACAGAATTGCACAACGTGGTCTGGAGCAGCTGCCTAATGATGAACAGCAGTAACTTTAATTTCAAGTCATATAGCTCAATTGCTTCTATACTGCTCTATTAAGATTAAAGTAATAACAGTTGTGCCCACTCTTGGTTACCATTTATGTATGCATTTTCAGGAACAATTTTAACGAGGCTCAGTTTGCTGTCAGTTACAGAGAATAGATTTAAATTTTATGTATCAGATTAAATTTTATAGAAAATATTTATTATTATTATTTAAATCCTCTACCCCTGCTCCTGCTCCTTACCAGCTTGCAATGCTATACTCTGTAGTCTTGAGCAGATGTATAATGAAACTCTGTCTATGTACAATAAATGATGAAAAGATGTGCCGTAACTGGTTTGGGATTTGGAATGCCTGGAATATGATTCTCTCATAAGGATTCATGTTAAACTGGTCCATGACACATCACCCCACACATCTTCACTCTGGCTTAGAACCAAACTTGCTTTATATAATTATATGGGATGACCAAATTCTGGTTCATGGAAAGGGTGAACCTTAGCCAGATATGCAACAAGGTTCAGTCCAGTATGATTCTTGAGTTGATTTTGGACTGTATTTTTAGCCTATTTGAAAATAAGCAATTGACCGGACATCGTCTATGATATTGGAGGAGCTGAAACAAGACCAGTTCCTAAACCTGTTCCAAGTTGGAACTGTAAAAACAATGTGGTTTGGGCAAAAAAATCAGCAGGACTATGATCGGATTAAAGATGAGAGTAAAATGTAATACTCCTTCAGTATTCACAAGTTCACTACAATAGGTTTGGGTACATTAATTAAGTATCAAATAGTAGGAGAAATGAGTGGTGTAGAAAAATTAGGAGAGGTGGAAAAGCATGAAAGAAAAATTATAAAGAAAAAGTAAGAGTAGTTGAGTATTTTTAAAGAAAAAACTTACCCAAAAGTGACAGTGTAGCCAATTTTATATCCATAAAAGCAAAGTGTACCAAACTTGAAAATAGGAAGGGAATATAAAATGCAAAAAATACAATGGGACCATGGGGGTACTTTGATTTCAATGGCAGGTTGGTAAATGTTATATTATCAAAAAACAATGTTTCCATTGAATAAATATGTGTTACAACTTACAAATGTATCAAGTAGATGAACCTACGAAACTAATCTCTCTCTAGGATTTTGGCTGCTGGAGTCTAGCAGTCCGCTATAGGCCGTGGTCGGGGAGTGGTGATTCCCCGCGATGGCTCAGTCGCTTCTCCGTGCAGGGTCTGAAGGGTGGTTGTCGGCTAATTAGTCGCAGTCGCGAGGGTGATTCCGGGCTTTGGTGCAGTTTTTGGAGGACGAAGGAGGGTATCAAGGTGGTCCTGAATCGGGATTCAAAGGTATGCGAAGCATCAAATTTCATTTTTCTGTGAAGGTATCCGAGTCGTATGGAGCAAGCAGTGAACCAGTATAAGCAGATGTGGATCGGAAAAGAGGAGGATGATCTGGATCTAGATGAGAGCGTATATGGTGATGTCCCTATGGTGGAGGTGCGTCCGACATGCCCGGTGGTGGGAGTTTTGTTGACCAATAGGAAAATCAAATTTCTTGTGTTTAGAGATCTGATGGCTTCATTGTGGAGGCCGAGGAAAGGTATCGAAATCAAAGAGATCAGTGATAAGAGGTATATTTTTAATTTTTATCATCCGAATGATATGAAACATGATTGATGGTGGTCCGTGGCAATTTGAGAGAAATTTATTTGTGTTGAAAGAAATTAATTCAAATGATATTCCGCATAAGATCTGTCTGAATGAGGCTGAGTTTTGAGTGCAAGTGCATAATGTTCCTTATAGCCTGATGAACTTAGGTACATCACGAAGGGTAGGTAATTTTCTGGGGAAATTTATTAAGTATGATGATAAGCAATTTGGAGAAAAATGGAAATCTTATCTCAGAGTTAGGGGTTGTCTGAATGTTGAAAAGCCTTTGAAAAGGGGCACTACCTTGAAGAAAGAAGGTGTTGGTTATTGGGTAGACTTCAAATATGATAGCTGTCAAATTTTTGCTTTGTCTGTGGAATTATGGGTCACTCTGACAGATTTTGTCCGTTGGCGTATGAAGAAGACTTAGTACTGGAAAAAAAAGTTTGGAGTGTATCTCAGAGCATGAAGCGGGGTGAAACAAGTCCTACATGAGGGAGCAAATGGCTAGTGAACGAGTCTTCAAGCTCAAAATGCAACCCTAAGGTTAAGGAGGACAACCAGTCAGATGCAAGGATTGAAGGAGGAAAGGATCTCATGGTGGGCTCAGCCAGCAATTCATCAAAAGATGGAGTCATGGGGGCGAACGCATTTGGGAGGATGGAGAAGGAGAGCACCAGACGGGAGATGACATGGCTCTGGATGGGACAAAAAATAGGGAGAAGACGGGCTTAGAGGGTTGAGTCCGCCATCGTCAACGGGGCAGAAGACTACATCAGGAATGTGACAATTTTGGTTGTTTGGGAGATTGAACGAAGACCTTTATTTTTGCGTTTCTATTTATTTTAATTGTTGGATTATGTCAATTTATGTTTGTTTCTTGTATGTCAATTGTAAGATTAGGCATAGACCGATTCCGGGCCAGTCCAAACCGGGCTTTTTTATGTTGGGTTAAGATCCGAAACCGATCCAAGATTCTACTGAACCTGGGCCGGGTACCTTTTTTTTTGCTTTTCTAATTACTTCCTCCCCCACCCCCACACCCCAAACCCCTCAAAATACCCAGCCCAACCCATTTACATCCCAAAGAATTTGAAAAAAAAAAAAAAAATTGGCCCGGACCGAGCCCGAACGGGCCTGTACCAAAGAACCCCGAACCCGTGACCCGACCCAAAAAACTCCCGGTTCGGTCCTGGGCAAACGGGTCAAGGCGGTTCCAAACAGTGCCGGTTCAGGCCGGTTGACCCGGCCCAGGTCCATCCCTATGTAAGACGATGTTTGTATCTTTGGATGTGGGTGATGATTTGACTGTGTTGACCATCTTTGGCTCATATGTGCCAATTAATGGATCAACGAGTTATACTGATGCAGTGCTTAACTCTGAGTCTGGTTCGAGGAATGGTGATTTTCAGGAGTCATGTTGTCGATTTACCTACTAAAATGATGTGTTATTAATTTAAGCCTATTTCTTTTTAAAAAAAAACTTACAAATAGCAAATACGATATGCTTATGAACCCAATACAGAAAGATCAAAATTGGAGGGTAGTGATGAAAAGCATAAGTTGCAAATACAGAGCATCTTAAAGCAAAATATGAAAATATAGATATACGTTAGACTGAGGATGAAAATTATGAATCGTCCTCTATTAAAGTGTGCAACTGTGACCGGAATTTGGACATTTTGCTAGCTTCCACAGCCATCACCAAACCACTAATCCGGTAATCTTTTAGCTGCAATATAAAAGATAGACGTATCAAATTAAGGGGCAATTCCATTATATATAATGGAACAAAATACATAACTCTCAGGATATGTTTGGATCCCGAAAATTCTAGGGACATGAAGAAAATGAACCATTATTGATGTTTTACATCATTGATGGACCAAAGTGCAACGGGGAGTCATTTTCTTGTTCTGTTTTACATCAGAAAGTGCCAATGAAAATGAAAGATGATTAATGTTTTACATTTTAGTGTGTTTAGATTCCTAAATCTTTATTTGTTCGAAATAAATAATATGAATTTGAACAAATATAAAGATTATTTATTTCATTTTGAACAAATGTATATATGCCCCTCTCTGCTTTTCTATTCACCCTTATTTTCTTTCCCTAGTTTTTCAAGTCCCAAACTGACCCTAAATCTGAAAGTAAATAGTGTTACTCTGAACTTTTTATATTACTCCATATTTATTAAACTAAAAAAATGTGGCGTTTGCATTTGGCCAGTCTGCACATAAATAAATATTAGAGAAACTTGCCTCATCAACTCTGACTAGCTGAGACTGCACTGGGAAAGTGAATGACCAAGAGCTTAGCTGGAACAGTAGTGGACTTAAAGAGTTAGTCTACCAACACAGTAACAACTGATTTGAAATGTAAACAAATGAACACCAGTCAACATCAATTTGTACCTCATGGAAGATTTCTTCTTCAGGCTTCACATATATTATGGCCCCATCACCGGTTTTACTTGACACAATTTTTTTGTCTGCATTCTTATGCTGCACAAAAAATAAGTAGAAGAAAAAGATATTACTCCCAATGCAAGACTGTATGCATAGTGAAAAAAGACTGATCTGAAAACAAAGATCAACAACAACATCCAAGCCTTAGTCCCAAAAGATATTGGGGTCGGCTAACTTGAAAACAAAGATCATACCTTGTAAATTTTAGTGATCACCAGGTAAAACCTAAAGCAAAACGATTTTTTAAGCTCTTCTGTTGGCTGAAAAAATGAAAACCAGAGGGGCCACTAAAATAAAAAAGAAACAATCATACGATTAATACAGATCTTATAAAAAAAACTCTCCCGTCAAACCTCATCTTCTGTAGCCCATGAGATTTCATCAAAGAGTGCATCGTAAAGGGGAGGCAAAAGCTGGGGAGGGAGATTTGCCACACGTTGAGAAACTAAGAGTCCAACACCCTCAGATTGCTCTTCAAGCACTAAGCTCAATTTAGCATGTACATTCTGATCTTGGCATGCCTTAAGGAGGTACTTCTTCAGCTCCACTATACAATTATTCTCCTGCAGCACAAATAAACCTCAAGGGTCCATTTGGAATTCGAAAATGCTATGGAAAGAAATCTAGGAAGAAAATCTAGGAGAAAGTTGGAATGAAAGAAAATGTTAAGTAAAACAAAACACTAGCCCATGCTCAATACATATTTGTGGAATAAATATTTTCTCAAATCTATTCTATAAATCTATTACTATCATATGCTCCATATATACGAAGAACTTTGCACATATGAATCAAAATTCAAGACATCAAATATATTTCGTTTTCCTTTTCATGTTCTGAGATAATAGCAAACATAAGAAATAGACTTTCCTTGAAATTCTCTGCTTTACCTAGCACTTTCCATGATCCAAACATAGCCAAAATGACATTAGTAAATCAATAACCAACCCCTCTGATTGTCCATTCCCATGCATTCACATAATGCAGGCGGAGTGACCGGTGGTTTGAATTTTCTCTCTCATTTCTTTGGGGATAATAAAATGATTCAGGTGAGAATTTGCTTATTTTCTTCCATGAATGAATAAATAGGGCTAAACAAGAGCAGGTTTCTTGCCTTATATCTTCCTAAGTTAAGGGTGCTGATAACAGAGTAAATTCCTTCATCTTCGTCGTTTGCTATTTTAACAACAGTGCCTACAGTGGGCTGTCCCAAGATTAGGTCAACAAAACCACTCAAATCCCACTCTTTATTATCAAGGTAGCTCTGCAGGAGAAGCTTCACTCCATGGAAGTCACTGGGCTTTGGATCAAAGAACTCAAAGTCTGCTTGGACAGTAGTACCCTTTCAAACAAAAAGCATGTATCAAAATGATATAGGCTAATTATAACTACAATAGCAAGAGCCAGTCAATTCTTAGTTTCCTTACTTCAAACTCTTCATCATCAGAATCAGAATACAGGTTGTTCTGGTCTCCTAGTTTTTTATTTAGAACCCCATTACCTGCAGACATAATTGCAATCAGTGAAAAATCAACGTTTATTCTAGAAAAGTAACATGTATACAATTTACTAGAAGATACTGCACCTGATGAGCTGTGCGGTTCTTTTTCTCGTAGTCCTTTAGAAATCTCATGCTTGACCTTGCTAAATGAGGCAAGACGGACCACAGATCGAGCATATGGAGACAAACCAAAAGGTCTATATCTTAACAATCGATTACGCCTTGCGATTTTATAAGGCATTTTGATCTACTTTTAAATAAGTAAACCTGAATAACAAGTACCAAGTACAAAAATGTCATTTCATATAAAGTGAGTGTTCATAAATATGACCACATATAAACTGGTTGACTCATATGGTAGATGAACGTGATGGCTTCTCCTATTATCTATTATATTATATATGAATGAACACAATGCTGCTTGTATTGGTTGAGATTGGGTAATTACAATGGGGATGAAGAACAGTATTTTATATTTACAAAACGAATCTCCTATGTTTGTTAAGAACGATAACCCCAGTGTTATGAATGGCGGGTAGGGGATTATGGAAGGTAGCCTAAAATAAATTAAGGAAGCATAGAGATTAGGTCAAATAAATTACATATATACTCCATAATAAAAAATTCTAAATATCATACTGGATGTAAGTGGTGATGTAATAAAATATACGAAGTATTCTAGTAACACGATCACAGTTAGAAACTTAAACTAAATTTAGAATCATTGCATAAGGAATAAGAAAATAAGAGCTCAGCAGGGATAAGTATAGCATAACGAATTGTAAAGAGAAAGAGTTCTGAATGACATTAAAAGAATAGAAGAGTATGATTTTTGAAGGAAAAAAACATAGGGAGAGGCTTACAGGGTAGAAGGTGGAGGATGGGCAGTCGCAGAAGAGGAAGCACACCACGAGAGAGCAGAGAACAAGCAGGGTGAAGGATATTTTTTGGGATAAGTACAAATAAGCAAAGTCTGATTGTAGAATACCAGTGTCCAGATGACTTGGCTTTTAGGGTTTAATTAAAAATTTAAGGGGTGTCCCCAACACAGATTTTAAATGATTTTAAAGGATTATAGATTCTAAGGATTTTAATAGAATTCTATAGATTGTATGAGATTCACATAGAATTCTACGGAATTCTAGTTCATAGAATTATAAGGATTTCAATGGACTTTAATAGATTTGAAATACAAGGTAGTGCAAAACGCTGCCTGGTCCCCAGCCCCCCACCTGCTCAGCCGCTGCAAACCACTGCCGGAAAAGTCGTCGGAATAATTTGATGAATTTTTCTCTTCGTTCTTTTTGCATTTTTCAAAATTCACCAGGAAAAATTAACGTTAAGTTGACTTCATTCTAGTCATGTATAAGGAAATAGATCTTTGCGAGGTCATAGATCAAATTCATCTTGTGTCTACTACGGAGTATAAGCTATCTGTTTATACAATGCTAAACAATTTATTGGCTTTTTAACCTGTGGTAGTGTTCTAAGTTTCTCACCTAGCTCCACCTCAGCCCCAGCTAGGCACGAGGTGGTGTATCTAGGAAACATGTTGAGTGCGGGCCAAAGTCTTTAGTGAATACTGGATGCTTTGGACTATAACAAATTAGTAATAGTAAATGTGTTAATTTAGTGTATGTCATCTTAAAATACTTCATGCCATACTCTCTTATTCAGGTCTTCAACTAAATGAAAAGTTTCCATGACTGTCATTTTCTATTGTGAATAAAATGCTTTTATAATAGAAAGTTTCTTCCAAAGAACCCTGCAAGCCTATGCTCTCACTGGTTTTACGGCATGGGAAACTGGCCAGGGGCGGATCCAGGATTGAGATGTGGGGTGGGCTAAGCAGTAAAAAAAAATCTTACTATACATACAACGTTTAGGTCAAGGCTGTTATCGAATTGAGTTTTTTCCGAATTATATACTCGAGTTCGAGGTTGATTTTGCCTCTAATTCAATGATAAGAGCTTAACGAGTTTCAAACTCAAACACAAACTAGGTTTTGAGTTTGAATAATTATTCAAGCCCAGTTCGAACATATTGATGTTTGGTTTGATCCGGACTCGAGCCTGTCGTTCACTTACAAATTATAGGAATAAATTATATACGAAGTATATCTTAAAATTTAAACGTTTATAGTGCATTTTTATAAATTTATTAATGATTATTAAAAATTCAATTTTTATTGAATAATTCGAACATGAATCTATTAACAAGTATAGTCTAAACTTCTACATTTGAGCATGTTTATCGTGTGTTGAAATCGAACACCGAAAATCTATCGAACCAAAATCTTGCTCAATTCTATACTCAGTAAATATTCATTCCATTTTCCTTTCTTGGCAATATTTTCATTATCCATTTTAAAAAACATTTTCAATATTGATATGAATTAAAAACCTTCTATAAAATTATAAAACTAATAAGAAAAAAACAATCGTTGTACCTAAAACTAATAAGTATTCACAATTTCAAAATTCAATTGAAATTTTCAATTCTTTATTACATGTCCACATTATAAATAACTCATTCTCTAATCTTCAATTGTATAATAAATAAATCATTCTCTAATCTTCAATTGTATAATAAATAAATCATTCTCTAATCTTCAATTGTATAACAATAAATCATTCTCTAATCTTTAATTCTATCTTTAATCATTATAAATTTATAATGAATTAAACACTATTTTAATTCATAATGAAAAATTTAATTAATAATCAAATTGATTCACTAACCCTAAAAATAATACCGAAGTAATACACAATAAGTGAATAACAGTCTCAAAATTATAGAGCTAAAATCTAAAAACCTCACCTGGAGGCTGGAGCTTCGGAGCTGGAGGCAGAGGCCAGAGCGGCAGGCTAAAATCTAACAGTCACGACAGAGGGCTCTGGACGGGCGGCGTGGACGGCGGAGGACGGCGAGGCGCAGCAGGGTCGCAACTCACAGAACAAGTTCTTGCCTTCTTCGTCGCAAACTCGCAAGTCGCAGGACGCAGAGCTCTGTCTTCAATTTTGGATTTTTCTTCTTTGCACTTCCGCCAGTTCGCAGCCTCGCAGGTAAGTTTGAATAGGTGGGCTGGGAATTAATTTTACCGGGGGATGAGCAAGAAACTATGTTTGGGATGATGAAGGGTACGTTGAAGGCAAATTATACCACGGGCTCAACATTTTTTATTTTTAATATCTTTAAAATGAGACCAATATTGGTTATGTAATTTTAAGAAATTATCGAACTATTATATTAATGAGTATTAGATTATAAGGAAAATTGAATCTGTTTAGGAGATGATAGGTTTGTGATATAGAAGATCGAATCTGTTTGGGACTTGGGAGGAGATCAGTGGTCTCAGTTACATTTGATAATACATTGAGTTACATCTTTTTATGATCGAGTTACATCTTTTTATAAGCAAGTTACATCTTTTTATAAGCGAGTTACATCTTTTTATAAGCCAGTTACATCTTTTTATAAGCGAGTTACATATATATACACACGAGTTGCATTTGACATGCCTGAACGCGACTTACATATATTTACACGTAAAGTTACATATTTTTACACGTAAAGTTACATATTTATACATGCGAGTTACATATTTATACACACGAGTTGCATTTGACCTCTCTGAATGCGAGTTACATATTTTTTTACGTAAAGTTACATATTGTTACACGTAGAGATACATATTTATACACACGAGTTGCATTTGGCCTGACTGAACGTGAGTTACATATTTTAACACGTAAAGTTACATATTTTACACGCAAATGTTAATATGTTAAAATTACATAGGCAATATTGGTCTCATTTGAAAGATCATGAAAAATAAAAAATGTTGATATAAATTTTATAAAAATCGGATCAAAAATAAAAAAGTTATTACCATTTTTTAAAAAAGAGAAAATAATATCCAATGGATGCATGGTGCTCACCATGCACCTGCACGGTATACGCACTCGCGCCCAATGTTTGATTTTTTTTATTTAATTAATGGCCGTAAATAGTAATTTGGAAGATGCGAATATAAGATAAATACACCGTACGGCCGGCTGTACAGTGCTCACCGTACAGCTGGTTTTTTTTGTAATTAAACTGCCGCGATTCAGCCCTGCAACTCGCGATTCACCCCTGCAACTCACCAACGAAGACAACGAAGGACGGCAGATCGAAAGTCTGGTGCAACTCACGAACGCAGATCGTTGATAGCCAAGCTTCCAAGTGCAACTCACGAGTCACGACTGAGATTCTTAGCCGACGCAGAGACGGCTCTACCCCTGCGAGCGATTCCTATTCTTCACACTCTATTTTTCCGTCTCTGCTAATTACTGGCCTGCTACATGGGGTGCCACATTTTTTTATACAAAATGAAATTATGAGCATAATAGACATTTCGAATGAGTTTTATGATTGCTCATTTTGTAATTTATGTATACTCATTTGATATTTGCTTAATACTCATTTTAAATGAAATGAGTTTTATGTTAAACTCAAATGAGTATAACACCCAAAAAGAATGAGCACACACAAATGAACCTTTTAGTTATTTGATACTAACTTGTAAGTTATGTATGCTCATTTTAAAATGTTGAACATTTCAAATGTATGCGAAAAAATAATAAACCAAAAGTGATATACTCCCTCCATCCTAAATTGTTTTGCAAAGTCAACATTTTTTGGTCAACCAATAATAAAAGTCAATCCTCCTTATCGATAAATCACTCAACTTTTAATAATTAAAATATACATATTCAGAAACTACATTAAAATCTCTTCAAAGTCGCAAACTCCAAATTAGAATATAATTAAAAATTGACATACTAATTAAGCAAATAAAATGAAACTGTTTGACCAAGAAAAGTCAAATTTGCAAATCAATTTAGGACGGAGGTAGTATAAGGTTTGAAGTAGAGATCACTGATTCTCACCGTTAGGCTCCTAATACTCAAAAGAACATGATTGATGTTCATCAAAGTTGCATAAATGCTCATTTAGGAGAATCCGCGATTTTCACAAAAATTACAATTTTCCCATCGGTTGTACAGTGATCGCTGTACAATGATCACTGTACAGACGACTGTACAGTATACGCGTTCCGCATATAATTGAAAAAATTAGGCTGGACTGGAACCACTCCTGTCCTCAGTCCTCACAGTCATCCGCCCTTGCCCCTGGCATCAAACAAAAAAAAAACTGAAAATTCAATGGAGGTACTTATTACTCCGCAGTAAACGACTGCCTGCGATCAAAGAAAAAACCATTAAAACTGAATGGCTCTAACCTGAAGAAGCGCTGGATTGGAAGACGGGAGAAGCTTCGATCGAACTGATGAAGGAGGGAAGGCAGAAGTGTAGCTGGGTTGGAAGATGAGGGAGGCGTCAATCGAACTGCCAAGGGAGTGAAACATGCGTTGCTGGATTCTTTAAATAATGGATTTGAAATCCAAATGGTACTAGTGAGATTGTTGCTGGAATTTCATTAAAATCAATAATAAGTAAAACTCATAGAATATTTGAGGATTCCCTAATTTTAATAAATTTTATGGAAATCCAAATTTAGGATACCTTGATTTTGATGGAATTCTAAACTCCATTAAAATCCATATTGAGGACAACCTCTTAAGGGTCTACGGAGTAAAATATGAGGGATTATGAACAAATTGAACACCAGACTTATATCTGAATCCTAGAGTCTGAATGGGCCGAAAACAGGTTGAATCGGCTGAAATTGATGAAATTCTGGCGGAAGCTGAATTAACTGAAGTTATGACTAGAGTATATTTTATTTAGAAAATAAAGAAAATTTATATGGTAAAATAGGTAAAATGACTCTCTACAGTAATTTTAGTCAATTCAATCAAAAAGTAATTTTAACCTTACTTATTTTGATTATTATACAATCAAACACGCAATATCAAAATTACGTGTTTAGTGAAAAATTGAAGCAAAAAAACCACTGCCACCAAATGAGCCATTAAATTGAACGTTATAATTTAAAATGGAAAAAAGGTCAAATAAGTCATTATACTATTTCTAATCTGTCACTTAAGCTCATGTACTAAAAAAAGTATTATATAAGTACGTCTACTTTTAAAATAAAATCAACCAAGACCTTTGACCCGCTATAGCAGGTTATTATTTTTTAGATTAAATTAGGAATATTGATAAATCCTACAAAAAATCATATAAATTTGAATAAATAATCTAATAATAATATAAAAATAGTATACATATAAAAATAGATAAATTTTATAAAAAAATAAGTTAAAAAATTAAAACTAAAAAAATAATGTGAAAATAAAAAAAGAAAAAAGAAAAAAACTTTAAAAACCTTTTAAATAGATGTTGAATATACAAATATTTTTAAAAAATAAAAAATATTGAGTTTGTATACAAATATACAATTTTTAGAATTTTTAAGTATTAAAAATCTGCTATTACAGGTCAAAAGCCGATTAAATGGTCACATTGATTCATTTTGTAAAGTAGGTGTACTTATATGATACTTTTTTAGCACAGAGGCTTAACCGGCGGTTTGAGAATAGTACAGAGACTTATTTGAACTTTTTCCCATTTAAAATAGATCAAATACACATGGATTTAACATATTTTGTCATGTTTTGACACGTATTTAACATGTAAGCATACCATCCGATGCTTTCTTTCTCTTATGTGTCTGATTAATATTGGGAAATAGATGTGCATCAGTGCATGGTCATATTTTCCTCCTTATATTAATAAAAATCATGGTTCACATACTGTGATGTAATCGGGAATTGATGCCAAACATGACGACTTATATTCAAGAGTATTATTTCGTACTTTTTGATATTTGTATTAAAAATGGAAGGGTCATAATCACCCTCAAAAAGTAGAGTATCAAATTGTTGAGTTGAAAAGTGGACTCTATATTTAAAGGAGAGAAATAATTTAAATAGCATAAACTTTGAAGTAGTGTGAAGTAATACTCTACTTCAAGAATAAAGATGGAGTTGAAATCGATCCATGATATCGATGCAAAAAAAGAGAATAAAGATAAAAGAAAAAAAGGATAAGATAAAATGGATATTATAAAGATAAATATAAAATAAGAATTATATAAGAATATAAGAAAGATAAAAGACAAAAAGATAAAAGAGCATAAGGAAGATAGAAGATAAAAAATCATAAGAACATAAAAGGATAATGAATAAAACGATAAAAAAAGATAGAGAAAAGATCACTTGTCCACATGAATGTGTGCCCTCCCCTTGCTTGTATCTAAATTTGCATATGTAATATAAATAACTCAAATTTTATTCAAAAAGTTATGTTAACTTGTGTCGAAAAATGGAATGGACAAATTCGAAAGAACTAAGTTATCCCCGCTAACTCATTCAACAAACATTGTTTAAATTGTACACCATAGGAACTAGGGATGGACCCGGGCCGGACCCGGGCGGGCTTTTTTTTTTCAAATTGTTGGGCCCAAAACCGGCCCGGGTTGATACCGGGTCCGGGCCTAACCGGGTTGAGCCCGGGTCAAGGTTTTTTTTTGCTTTCTAATTAACCCCCAACCCTCCCCTCCCCCCTCACCCCCACTCCCCCTCCCCCTCCCAAAAACACCTAGCCCTAACCAAGAAAAACAAAAAAATTGAAAAAAACAAAAAAAAGCTCGAGCCCGGCCCGAACTGCCCGGGCCAGTTCAACAAATATAGGGCCCAAGCCCGGCCCGCCCAACCCTCCCCAACCGGGTAAAAGCCCGGGCCTGGTTAGCACCAACCGGGCCGGTCTGGGCCCGCACAGTGGCGGGCCGGCCCGAGCCTGCACAGTAGCAAGCCAGTTCGGTTCCGGGCCAGGCCGAACCGGTTGGATCCATCCCTAATAGGAACATTTAAAAAAAAACCTTTTTTCCCTAAGGAATTAACCTATTTTGAACTGGTACTAAATTACTAATTATGAAAGCTGTCAACAATAACCATCTTAACTTGATTTATTTATTAGATTATGATGTTGTTGCGAGGCTTATTATTAGCCACACGTCCACACCCGAGGAAATGGGAGCTGGAAAATGCAGTTTGCTACCAACTAACCAAAGAGGCAAAGAGCATGAAGTAAAAAAAATAAACTCAAAACACGATACTTTATAACACTTCAAATTCTCTAACCTCGGAATAATTATTACAAATTTACAATAAAGTTCTATACGTGGATGAATACTTTTCAATAAAAAAAACACTACATACAAAATTTTGAAAAAGAAAAATAAGAAGTGTTATTTAAGCTTACATTCTCGAAGACAAAAATCAGAATGCCTACATAGCTTTTTCTATGAACAATGTTCCCAAATTGTCCATCTTTCAAGACCCAAACCCTTAGTTTCCTCCCTGTGTTACCTAAAGTAGAAGTTCCTGATTTGCTTCATCCACTTGTGACTGAAACTTTCCCTTGCATCACCCTCTGAGGATGATCTATCGGCACCAACATCTAGACAAAATGTCTGGAAAAGAACACGAGTTCTTTCAAGCACATCCAGGACAAGAAGATGCATTTAAGAATACATTTCTTACTACCACCTGATTCTATTGACAATAACACCACTCATATATACAACTGTGGAGTAATAGAGAGATGAGTGGAGAGTGGAGACACATCCGCTTTTCAATCCAGAAAAGGTGTTCAAGAACCACTTGCAAAACCCATCAAGTACGAATCATCTAAATTGTTTCAAGAAGAAAGGTTAATTAATAAATAGATGAAGAAATCAGTAATAAAAATTATTATTAGCATATAGAGGATATTTTGCTTGTAGAATGAACACACATGCAATGTGATACTCTGTGCAAGTCATTTAGGCAATGTATAATAACATTGCCTACGATCCAAAGCGATATACGAGCAGCTCATTTAGAGTATAATTTGACGAACTTCACAGATAGGGAAGATAAAATAAGAATGCCATTTTAGGAACAACTAACATGTTGCAACAAGGTGGAATACCTTTCTAACTTGAAAAAAAGGATCGGGGGGGGGGGGGGGGGGGGGGGGGCTTACCATTTTGTTTGGGGTGCTTCTCCCCTGTATTGTCTTCTTTGCTGCATTGGCAAAAGCAACGGCAGCTTCTGCATCAGCCTCTGCAGCCTCTGCTTCCCTTGCTGCCTGTTCAGCTTCTGCTACAGCAGCTTCTGCTTCGGCAACAGCTTCAGCAGCAGCAGCTGCGGCTTCTTGAGGAGTCATGCTTCTCATCTTGGCCAATTCCAAATCAATCTCAGATTTAGTGAGCAAATTACTAACATCATGTCCAACTCTATTAAGTGAGATTCTGTCCCTGCCTTCTGGTAGTAGAATTGGATGATGCATTTTTCTGTTGCTGTTCAATGATGAAGGTGGAGCCATCCTATATTTCCGGGACATCTGCAAAATAAATAAAGGAAATAGATCACTTTTAAGAATCATTATTATGACGACCAAGCAAAAAGATACCGAATAGTACAACACCTTCACAAGTTTCCCTGTCGCTGTTAAATACTTCAGTTTAGCAGAGAGTAGCCTTTTAAATTTTGGAGGTGCCCAGTATTGGTCCTACAAGAATAGATGACATGTTTCATTTTAAAATGAAATCAAATTTCAATGACAACCGTCCCTAACTCCTAAAAGCATAGAATACATGAATGGCAATAATATCACTCAGCTGTTTACACAGTTCTGTCTTCAGAGAGGCGGTTTACAAGTTCGAGAAGAGATTTACCTCTATGTATGCAGCAATAGTTTTCTTGCTGGATCCACGAGGCTCTTTCAAGTTGATTATAGCTTCCATAACAAGATTGTCCAACCTTTACAATGCAAAAAAGGCAGTGTTGATACAAAAATTTATCAGAAACAAAATGTATCCATATATGATATGCAATACCCCACAATCTAGTTCAGGTTTCAGTTGCACCAAACGTTATCATAAACTTTTTTTTCGGGAGTATACGATGCGCCACATTAGAATGCCATGTTTTGCACACAACACCAAATTGATGAAAAGATGCAAGTAATTAACAACTGACTAATCCGTACATCACGACATGTTAATGTAGAGAAAAGAACCTTATGACAGATCTTTTTGTGCCCCCACTACGTGGAGAGCCACTAGAAGTTTCAACTTGCTTGTCTTCACTACTTTCGTCCTCACTTTGATCAACATTTGTAAGAGCCAACGAGCTCTCATCCTGCTTAGGGGTTCGGTGCACCCTTTTAAGTGCTAATTTTGACTTCTCTCGAGATCCCCAACCATTTGCCATTACAGTCATATTTCTCCACTTGTCCTGATCATATATATTCATACCACAACAACAACAACAACATCCAAGCCTTAGTCCCAAAAGATATTGGGGTCGGCTAACATGAATCGATACATGATATCACAACCAAAAGGAAAAGAAGGAATAAAGATAAAAAGATAAGCTATTATGAAAAGATAATATAAAAAAGATGAATATATATAAAAATGATAAAATATTCAGGAGCAAGATTCAGGAGGTTCTTAATAGAAGAATGTGTTTTAGCAAGATTCTATCATTGCTATTCCTAAAAAATCCACAACTCTTTTACTGAACAACAAAGAAACCAAGTATAGCAACAAGTTGTACCTTGAGATCTACATTTGAACGGAGATATAATACTTTACAATAGTCTGGGTCCTTAAGAATTGTACGCCACTTGCCTGGACCATGCTTACGTACTCCAGCTTTGAGAGCGGCTTCTTCTTCAGGAGTCCATTTTTGTTTGGGAGCACCCATTAAAGCTTTGAACAAAATGAGATTTTTAAGGGAGAAAGTGAAAATGTTCGCGGATAAAAAGGTTTTCTCAAACAGCATTATGCCAAAATTCATCATAGCATGTTGAAACCAGTACCATAGAGATAGTAAAACAAGCATTACATCATCAAAGGATATAATTTATGAGCATTTAATTCCAACAGCATGTAGCAAAAAGCTATATCATCATTCCATGTTTAGTACCCTGATGAAGTGAAGGCACACATGCCATGGGTATGAATTACAAGTTACGATTGAAATGTCATTCTCCCAAATGAATGGGAGAAATGAAATCTAAAATTGGTCCAAGAACTATGTAAACCAAACCAAACCAATAAGTCTTATATGGAACTTGGAAGAATGTTCTGGGAGGGTGAGATATTGAGATGTACCAAACCTTACATCTAACCATAGGAAGCTAGGATTAGGCATACTTTTGCCAAAATTAAGTATTAGAGATTTAGATTCTATTGAAATAGCGAGTATCTATCACTGTGAAAACTTCCAAAATAAATATATATAACCTCTTTTTGCCTGAGATCATAATTCATATAGACTAAATTGCAGAAAGATATTCGAAAACAGAATCTAAATCTGAAAAGGAGCAATATAAAATAAAGCTAAACTAAGGCAAGCTACGGAAACTTTTGGGATTTCTGAAGGTAATAACAAAAATAGATTCAAACATTGTGGTCTTGATTCAAATTACTCAGCACCGAAACAAGTGATTGTTCATATCGATCAGTTTCCAGACAATTTTGCAATATCAGATGGTGAGATCATACTGGAATCAGAGGCGGATCTAGCTTTGGCATCCGGGGTGGGCCAAAACTTAATTAATAACGTATATTGAAAAAAAATTGTGACAAAAAAAATCAATGACAAAAATAAACATTATAGAAATAAGAGTTTTCATCAAAGTCAAGTACAAAAACACCACAATTTTACAACTGTTCTCTACGTATTTTCATCAATCGATATCGTTTGATAATGACATAATTGTCAATTTTCAAGAAGATGTCTTTTTCTACATAAACAATAAGTCTATCATTGAGCCAGCCATCACTCATCCGGTTGCTCAAACTATTCTTCAAGATATTCATTGCTGAAAATACCCTTTCAACAATAGCGGGTTGTAATGGTAAGAATCAATGCCAATGTCAACAACTTGTAAACTAAAGGAGACATCTTGTGTTTTTTAGAGCCTGTTTGGTAATGTCAAAATCGGCTCATGCTGCTGAAATTTATGAAGTGCTGCTTGAAGTGACTGAATTGGCCAATTCTGCTGATTTATTAAAAAAATATTTAAACTATATATTATTAATAAAATAAAGAAAAAAATATATGTAAAAATAGCTAAAATGGTCCTCTACAATAATTTCAGCCTATGCGGCCGGAAAAAATAACTTCAACCTTACTTTTTCTTATTATTACACAATTCAGTGCATGAAATCAAAAATTACGTGTTTAGTGAAAAAGTTGGTTGACAAGCCTAATAAGCCGAAAACTGGGCTACCAAACGGGCTCTTAGTTTCTACCAACTTCTCTGCAAGATCACCAAGTCCTTTGAGCTCCTACTTCAACAAGGTTATAGTATCTCTTCATTACCTTTATTGAAAATAACAGGACGACTAACTACTACATTAATACTAATTAACGTAATAATAGATTAATAATAACAAATCACAAGCAAATTCATACTACTATAATTCTATAAATGATGATTACAAGTTTACAAATAATAATCAAATTCATAATAAGCAAGTTTACAAATATTAATCAAATTCATAATTAGCAAGCTGTAATTTAATCTTTAAATTGAATTAAACTAAAGAATTGAAAACTAAAGAATTGAAAACTTGCCTCTTAAACACTTAGCCGTGACTTGGGCAGCAGACCAGCAGTTCTCAGAATCTCAGGCCTCTCAGTTTACCACGGAAGACCAATTAGATCAGAAAACCAGAAACCAAAATACTCTATACCACCGTGCCCCCTCCGAGTGCTGCGTGCGACCAGAGAGGCAGCCAGTGACGATCGACGATGGTTGCTGCGTGCTAGATTGGTAGGTTGGAAATTGTGATTTGGCCTTTGGGGGTTTTGCCGAAGCGGAAAGATGCGGACTGCTAGGCTGCTACCTCTTCCCCTGCGCCGGTCTTGGAGTTGCGTAACTTGGGAGATGCGGACTGCTAGGCTGCCCCAGTCTGGAATAACCTAAATTCAAACCCTAGATCTGAATGAAAACTAACATTTTCAAAGCCGAAATAAAAATTCAGTAGGTAAAAAGAAATCAAACCTTAGGCAATTTTCAAAATCACCACAAAAGCATTTCAGGCATAGCTATTTGGCGTTGCAGCAATTCAGGATTCCGAAAAGCCAATGCCATGTTTTGTTTCCTGCATTTAAAATGGTCTTGGACCCGAGTACTGTTTTACTGCCATATTTTGGGATCAATCCGGTGACCTTTAGTTCCTCTTCCTAATGGCTCAGTTGGGTCAAAGAGTAAATGAGCATTCTTTCTAGTAGGGGTGGACAAACACATATAGGAAATTCAATACAGGTTCTATGCGGGTTAGAGTCGGATCCTAATTTTAGAAAATTCAGATGGTTTTGGGCATGGCTGGTCCTTAAAAACTTAGGAACCGGATGAGTCGTAAAATTTGAAACGGGTATCCGGATCGAACCGTTTTAAAATATTATTTTAATAAATTCTATTATATTTAATACATAGTATAATATACTAACAACACATGGAAGATCATCATATTCTTGTGTTTAGACAAAGACTTACAATTAAAGAAATTGGTTTAAAAAGAGTTTCTAAGTCCACCTAAGCTCCTAAATTATTGTCATTAGCTCTATATTTCAAATGCATCGAACTTTTTTTAATATTTTATTGTAAACAAATATTATACTTAATAAAGTGTGACATATTTGTTTTACTATCTTACGTTTACTTATACTTGAATATTTAATATGATTTAAATTGTTTTCATAGATAAATATGTATAGTAACTAGATCAATTTCTTGTAACTTTATACTGCTATCTTTTTAGTTTATTAATAATGATTAAAATTTTAAATTTAGGTGGTTGTGTGTTTTTCAATTTGTAGAATTGTTAGATATTTTGTTAACTAATTTAAAGTGTCGTTTTATATTTTTATTTGGAATTTTTACTATATTATGATTACATTAATACTTAATTAGTTTGAAAATTTTATAACTTGCTAGAAACATTACTAGCATAGTCAGGTTTGATTTTTTACAAGAAATAAACAACCGAGAACTCAAACCAAATCGGCCCGTTTCAAACGAGGCTGGTAAGGTTTGGTTCCTATTTCGAGATTTGGTATACTCGGACCGAACGTACCCGTTAAATGGAATCAGCGATTCTTGAAATTTTTCGAATCTCATACCAGTTCAAAAATGTTAGACTTACATAGAACAAATACTATAATATATTAGAAAGAATTGCCATAAAAACAATTATTTGAAGTGATTGACCAATGAATGACTACCATGCTTACGAGCAGGTGGTTAGATGGCTTTCCAGTCGGAAAAATCTTGATAGGAATATATTTCTTGCCTAATATATTGTGAATCGGGTCAATCCGAGTAGTTTAATCCATTTTTACATTTATTGTTTATTTGTAATTTTATTTGTTATATGAGTCCACCTAAAATGATTTAATGTTGTTGCTGATTACATTGTTATTTATTTATAGTAAATTACTAATAATATCATTAGCTTATTATCACTTACCTTTTACTTATGTTATTTATGGTGAATACTAATATAAGAATATTGTTTTGGGGTTGAACTACCTACTTCTAGATGTGTACCTTAGAACAATTAAACTTTTTTGTTAGACAGTTGATACCTATTTTAAATCTTCATGCATGTATAATGTAATGGTCACAACTTCGACAATTATTTAAAACATCATTTGAAATATGAATATTTATATGTAACTTAAGATAAATTGTGTTTATTTTAGGAGGATAATATATTTTTTCCCCGAATATAACCACCCGTGATGGTGGGAGTGTCGGGGAACACTACCCAAATTTATTAATAATAAGTAGATTACAAACAAGTTTCAGAAACAGTACAGATAATAAAAAACATGCAGTCGAATGCTGAAATAAACCGGGGTTTAACAATTGAAGTTTTTTGAAGGTATCTCGACTGTAGCCGAAATGGATCTATTATATTGGTTGTGGAACTGAACAGCCCTTCGGAGATAGGGTTGGTAGGTTTTTGCTTCCGGTTTAGAAGATCTGTATCGCGTGAGTGTGGCAGCTAGTTTGTGTGGGGAGTCTAGCCTCTCATCAACAGGGTAAATGTAATAGTCATATTCATGTTATGGGCATCTAGATTGATTTATTGTGATCATCGGGTGTGAAGCGTACCCCACCTCGTAGAATAGTTGTTAGGGTTCTGGTGTTCCGTTTGGGGGCAGCGCACAATTGTCTCTATTTATAAGGGAATGTGTCAAATCAAAAGATTATGCTCTCTCTAGGGTGGTTTTCCGCCGTTGGGGTTTCCTCTCCACTATCGATTCTATCAAGGAGCAGCTGCCGGATGCAGTAGTTTGCTGCAAGTGGATCTGGGTTTTTCGCAACCGTCGATTGACGGTGAGCGGTCGCGAGAGGAATTCAAGGTGCAATTGAAGGGGCAGCGCAAGGCAGGTGCTAGGGTTTCATCAGCAATCTAAGTCCTTCCCATCGTGAAAGGGGTAGAGATCGTGGAGCGTGGTGGTGTGTTCCGAACGATCCAACAGAGGGGAGTCTTCAATGGAAACCATTGTCAATCAATATAAGAACATGTCAATAGGTTGGAATTCTGAGGAGTTGAATTTGGATGAAGACGAGTTCCGGTCGTTAGCACATTGTTGACTGATAGGAAGATCAAATTCAGATCTTCAAGGAACTCATGGCATCATTATGGAGACTGGAAAAGGTGTGTCGATCACAAAAATTGGCGACAAAAGGTATCTTTTTATTTTCTAACATATTGTGGATACGAAACGTGTTTTAGAGACCAGACCATGGTTGTTTGAAAGAAATTTGTTGATCTTAAAAGAGGTTAAGCCATAGGATATTCCGCTCAAAATTAGCCTCAATGAGGCTGACTTCTGGGTACAGGTTCATAATGTTCCTTATAGCTTCATGAATTTAGACACTGCTAGAAGGATTGGTAATTTTTTTGGTAAATTTATTAGCTATGATGATAATCGATTTAACGAAAACTGGGAAACTTATTTGCAAGTTAGGGTCTGCATGGATGTGGGTAAACCTCTGAAAAAAGAAACAACTCTTAAGAAAGAAGGGATTGACCACTTGGTAGAATTTAAATATGAGAAGCTACCCAATTTTTTGCTTTATCTGTGGAATCAATGGTCATTCTGATAAGTTTTGCCCATTGACATATGAGGATAACCTGGTGTTGGAAAAAACATTTGGGGTGAAACTTAGATCTGATGTGGGGGAGACTAGTCCTACATGGGGGAATAAGTGGCTAGTAGATGGGTCCTCTAGCTCAGGTTTGGGGTTTCCACTAAAAGAGGATACCAAGACAGGAAGTGGAGCAAGAGGGCAGGGTTGGAGGGAGTCCATGTCAGGCACGGGTAATAGCTCGACTAAAGATAGGGAGTTTGGGAGCACTGAGGAAATGTCAGGGGAACAAAAGCGCAAGAGAATCTGGGAAGCTCAAGAACAAGAGGATCCAATTAGTGATAACATGTCTCTGGACAAGCCAAAAAAACGGGGAGGATGCGGGCTCTGATCTTTAGGCCTGTCGAAACACTAGAAACAGATAGAAGGTTTGGGTATGTGGATGGTGGTGGTGCTATGGAAGACGGAGCAAGAATTTCACTTTATTGTTGTTTTGTTTTTTAATTTTTTGAGCAGACTGTTTACTTTCAGTTTTGTTTGTCTTTTTGTTGTAAGACTGTGAGTTTGGATTTGGGTGACGGGAGGTCTGCATAACCGTTTTTGGCTTATTTGCGCCCAATTAAAGATCAACGAGTTATATTGCATTCTCTGGAGGTGATTAACTCCGAGTGTTGTTCAAGGGCCGGCGTTTGCCGGTGGTCTTTTTGTCGTTTTACCCCATATCTGAATGTTGTCCCATATCTGAATGTTGTAATATCAATTTAAACCTACTTCTTCTAAAAAATATTTTTTATAAGGAACCGAAAAAATGAAAGAATCGAATCGAAATTAACTAGAATCGAACCAAATTTAACAAATACATTTTTTACTAAAATTGAACCAACTAAAGCCTACAGTTTTTAATACGGTTTTATCAATTTTTAACGAGAACCGAACGATCTCAGGCCTAAATACAATAAAGAAAACTGTATGAAAAATAATTAGAATTGTCATTTACAGTAAATTCAACCAATGTAATTATAAAAGCAAGTCTAACTGTATGTATCTTAATTTGGATATTTGAATGTCCAAATTCAAAAATTGTGTTACATCAAAACAATCAAATCAAATATTATGTGTTTGATGAATAAGGATCGTAATGTATAATCTATAAAAAGTCAGAATGATTGTGACGGCAAAAAACAGAGAAAACAGGTGATTCCGTAAGAACTTCGTCAATTTCTAAACTCGAGCAATCCTGGCAGGCTTGTCAGCACACTCTTCTTCTCCGTATAGTAAGCGCCTCTTCTTGGAGGCAGTGTAGCGGTAGATAATGCTCTGAAGGGAATGCCTGATGGAAGGAGCATCATATTCTTCAAGAAATCTCAAGTCAGATTCTCTCCACTTTGCGCCTGCAAAATGCTTGTACTCTTCCAACACAGCAGACAAACACCAGTTCTGCAACTTCCTCAGGCACCCAACCAGACACCCCGTCCGGTGTTTCCCGCGCTTGCAATGGATCAGCACCGGATGGTTTCTCACATCAATCAGGACTCTAAGAGCCTCAGTTATGGCAGTCCTGGATATACCAGATGGGTGCTTGGTGCCTTCGATTCCAAATTGGAAAAGCTTTACATTGTTAAGGCGGAGAAATTCCCTATTCTCTTCAGGGTAAGGCTCGGGACATAGATATATGATAGAACGGAGATTTAGGGTTCGAAGAAACGGGAAATTGGAGGGCTGCGGGAGGCTGGATCTGTATATGCAGAGATCTTCCACCGCTGAGAAGTTGGGCGGCGGCGGCATAAGAACGCTGGCGCCGACTTCAGCCGCCTGTTTCCCGTCTCCTCCTCCACCGAGAAGCACGCACATCCTTCCTCCTACGAATTTAGTTTCTTCTCTGTTATTCCTTCGGCGAAGCACTCGTTCTCTGGACGCCGTCACGAATATCTAGACGCCGCTATCGTCAATCCTATGCGAAGAAGATGAAGAAGCAGAGAGATTCATTCTGATTTAGAGGAATTGAGTCGAATTACTCTCCCAATTGTATCGTGAGTAGGGTATTTATTTGATCGATTGATTAGACGAATTGGAGTCCTTCTAGGCGTTGGAGTTTATACAGGAGCTTGTGTTCTATGATTCCTCATTCTATCATGATTTGGGTATTTGGCCAATCAAGAATTTAGTCTGTCAATTTTCTTTATAAAATTTTATACTCGTATTTTGGAAAATTGGGACTGAAAAAATGCTAGCGCCGCCATACCGGCGCAAGAGTTATTTTGATTTTTTTTAAAGATAAAACAAAAAACAGTTCCATGGCATTATTTTTGTGGAAATATCGGGGTAGGTTCACTTTTTCAAAATGCATTTCATTTATGTCTCCTAATAATTTACTTTTCATTTTTAATTTTCATCTTTTCACTTTTAGTTTCTTATTTCAAAAATAGCCCAAATCCTAAATCCAACCCGTAAGGCCATAACTTTCATCGTCTATGACTGACGCTCAAATCGTCTATGACTGCCGCTAACTCTGAGAAGTTTAGCTCTAAATACTTAAAGTCTTCATGCAGCTCTCTACCAGTCCAAGCAATCGACGAGCCTCAGAACCGCAGCTTTCGTCCACAGAGAAAGATGTGTGAAACCCCCTGTGCGGCCTCGCCTTGCTCTTAGCCGCCCGCATCTGCGGAAAACCCTTGCTGCCAGAATAGATGGATCCGACCAAAAAAGTAGAAGAGACCCTTAAACCCTCGACCATGCTCACGATCTCACCTCTCATCCAACAGAATCGAAGCGCTCAACTAGAAAAGTCAGAGAGGACGTGCGCAGATGTTCCCCTTCTGCCCCGAGCCGACTGCTCCCTCCGGCCTCCCTGGCTCCGCGGCCCCGCCCTCCGCCCCTCCTTCCTCGACTGCTTCGGTGTGTATTTTAATCACTATATCTTCAATAGTTCTTGGATTTATTGATTTGTTCATAGTTTTTTGTGTTCAGATCTCAATTCGTATTTGCCGTACTCCTCATGTGCGGTGATCTCATATTTATATTTGTGGTACTGTGCATGTGCGATGATCTCAGATTCGTGTTTGATTTAGACTAGTATTTAATTTTTAATTAAGCTCAATTATCATATTTTTCTTCTTAGATTCAACCTTTATATGGTATTTTCAAATATAGCAGTAGGCCAGTAGCTTTTTGGACTGCCCGAAATTTATTTAAATTTCTCATTTGAATTCTCAGTCTTATTCACATTTCTTCTCATTTTTAATGACTTGTTATGGAAAGTCGATCATATATATTGACAGTTTTTGCTATTGAACAAGCTCTATTGATCACTGTGGAATGTCTCCTGCTCTGTTCATCTTTTTGGCTCAACATGGAGTATTGGAGTTACAAGGGCCTTTTGTTATTAGGTAAGTTTTATTTTTCTTTTCTACATTGAGCTCTATGGTCACGTGTCTGGCATTGTCCTCATTGCATTGGTTTATATTTTTTGTTTTAATGCATTTGATGCTTTCTGAAGTATTTATAAAATTATATTATAACAAATTACTACAATTGATTGATTCAAAGTTCGCTCAATTATGTTTTAAGTTTACTTGATTATACTAAGGATTTCATAGAACTAAATTAATGGAAAGAGCGAGTGATTAACTTTGATTTAAGATCCTATGGAGAGTGTGAGTCAACGGTGACTGGTTGTGGTCTAGTCAAACCATTCCTACTTCGAAAAAGCAGCTTCAATTATAGTCCTCCAACCCTTCTTAAACTTACCTGATCTGCAAGTGATCAATATAGGTAAGTTTTACTTGACATTTGATTACACGCTCAGGTTAAGTTTACTTGTTAATTTCATTCACTCATTAAGCTTAGAACCTTCAAAGAATTACTTTGAAACAATGAATATGTGTTGTGATGTTCATGCTAGCTTCATTTTGATATGCTGCCTGATTGTGGCTATTTGAAATATGCTCTTTTATGCTCTATATTTGAAATATGTACTTATTGGATATTATTATGTGTTGTTTTTATTTTCTTTTATCTTGTTATTTGTTGTTGTATTTTTGTTTTTTTTGTTTTTGATTTGTTGCTTTTTGTTGTATGTATTTATTTTTGTTGCTTTTTGTTGTTATTAATTTGTTGCTTTTTCTTGTATGGTGTTTCTTTTTGTTGTATGATGTTTCTTTTTGTTGCACCATGTTGATTCATGTTGATCATTTTACTTTGACATTTGATTACACGCTCAGGTTAAGTTTACTTCTTAATTTCGTTCACTCATTAGCATGATTTCCTGCTTAAAACCTTCAAAGAATTACTTTGAAACAATGAATATGTGTTGTGATGTTCATGCTAGCTTCATTTTGATATGCTGCCTGATTGTGGTCAATTTATAACGTACAAATGAGACGTATCACTCTCTTTTATGCTCTATATTTGAAATATGTACTTATTGGATATTATTATGTGTTGTTTTTATTTTCTTTTATCTTGTTATTTGTTTTTTTTTGTTTTTTGTTGTTTTTGATTTGTTGCTTTTTGTTGTATGTATTTGTTTTTGTTGCTTTTTGTTGTTATTAATTTGTTGCTTTTTGTTGTATGGTGTTTCTTTTTGTTGTATGATGTTTCTTTTTGTTGCACCATGTTGATTCATGTTGATCATTTTTCAACTATTAATTTTTATTATTGGTTATTTTTATTATGATTCCATTTATACCTAGTAATTTGATATGTGGATGTGTGTAGGCACACACATTTATAATGATAAATTGCACCATGGATTGATGCTTTTGCAAAGTACGGGTGGATTTATTGGAACATCTTTTCTTTAAATGTCCAATCACTAAGGAAGTGTCGTAGATGGTTGGTCATCGGCTGAAGCATAAAAAGCATACTAGGATGCACGCAACAGTTTCAGCTATCTCGTTTATGCATTGTCAATTTGAAAGGCTGTGAATGAGGTTATTGTTGCTCATAAGGTGATTAGTGTGTTTTTGCAATTGAAGGTGTTATTTAGATTACATCCTACCAACTTTATTGATTTTTATGGTGGTACCTTGGTTGTTTTCTTGGTTAGGTGTTGCCTTGGGAGTTTTGTATGGTACCCATTAGACCTGCACAAACACGGGCTCGGGCCGGGCTTATTCTAAAAAATCTGCCCACTTGTAGTGGGCGGGCCCGGCCCGGCCCGGTAAAACGGGCCTCCTCATATGTCCAAGCCCGCCCATGAGAGCGGGCCGGGCTGCCCACCGGGCTTTTGGGCCCGAAAAATATCCTTTTGTCAACTTTGTTAAAAAAATGAAAATATTTATAAAATAACATCACAACATTTTAAATGCAATTAAATAATTAATGTACTCACAACACATTTTGAACACAAGAATACGTTTAAATGCGAAACACAAAACGATTCTGGAAAATAAAAAGCATCCAAATTCCAAATAAGCATCCATAGTCCATAATTAAAAGCACAATCACAGATTCACAATGTGCAGCGGAAATAGTCAAGAGTATCTCCAAAAAGATTTAACAAATGTATATCATTACAGTTCAAATTTAAATAGTAGAACACAAAAAGTAATTGGTATCCCAAGATTCCAAGAACTTCTCGACATTCCTTCATTTCACCAGAAAGTAATTGATCTCCCAGACTGCTCTGCCAAATGCCAATAAATATCAAATAATGAAAACCAAATATTATTTATAAACCAAGTAAAAACATTGAGATAATGAAAATAATGGAAAATAATGACACTTGTGAATAATGACATGGTAATGAAATTATACTTCCAAGTATTTTAAGTTTTATACGTATAGTCATATAATGTATAATTATATATAGAATAATATATATAATATAATATGTTTACGGGCCGGGCTTTTAGGCCCGACCGGGCCTATATTACAACCCAAGCCCGCCCATATTTTAAACGGGCCGGCCCGGGCCCGGCCCGGTGGGCTAAAGCATGTGTCCAAACCCGCCCATTTATATGGGCGGTCCGGCCCGGAATTGTGCAGGTCTAGTACCCATATGTAAATTGTTGACTATTGGTATGCCTTTTGCCTCGTGAGTGCTGCCTTTTGCTTTGGTCATAGAGGGGAGTGATTGCGAACTGCTTAATGGTGTTGTTTCTGCTTGAGACAGACTATGCAAGTCACGCTATGCAAATTGTATGATGCTATTGTTTGTTCCTTTGACGAAATATGCTTTAGACAAATTGTTTGGGGCTGATTTGTTTTTTAATTTAGTGCATGAAGCATTGGCTTGTTATGCTCTTCCTTAACTAGGGATACCCCCTTATGTGCTATTGTAAACTACAATTTTGATAGTTAATTAAGTTGTACTTTTCATAAAAAATGCACCTTAGAAATCAGCAACATGGAACATTAAAAGTTCTCTAAAAAACAAAAAGCAACGTTATGAAACATTATGAAACAAAATAATAACATAATGATAATAAAAATACAATATTTTTATTATTTTAAAAAACTAAATTCCTAAAGGTAATGGTTTGTATTTTCTAGCATTTTCACAAAGTCTTAACTAATACTCCCTCCGTTCCATTAGAATGTTTTCACTTTCCTTTTTTTGATGTCCCGTTAGAAGGTTCCCATTTCCTTCTTAGGAAACAATTAACAATCTTACGTGACAATTTAATCATTAAATATTAAAAATAATACATTTATAACATCACAATTATCAATACTAACTACATTATAATATATACCAATTAAAATTATTTCTCAAAATATATTCGAAGTATTTTATATAATTATTGTCTAAATAATCGTACCGTTTTGCTATGCGAACCTTCCAAACGGAGGGAGTAATATCTATCTTTAACCTTTTCATTTTAGAGTTTTTTTATTTTTTTAATTGTTCTACAACTTTTTTTAGTTTTCCTAAATTCTTTTGATTTTTAATTAGGTTTTAGAAATTCAATTTCAAGTTTTTTCAATTTTGAGAATTTTTTCTGATTAATATTTTATTTTCTGTTATTTAATTCTTTTACCAACCTTTTGATTTTTTATATTTTTGAAATTTTTATATTTCATATAAATTGTAACATTTTGAAATTATTTTGTATTTTATAGAACGTCCCCATGTTTTTTATATTTTATATAAACTGTATTAACTATTTTGAAATTGTATTTGAAATTGTATACTTCGTATATTTGTATACATTTTTTTATTTTTTTCAGATTTTATGTTAAAGTTAATTTTTTTAACTTAGTTTACACGTTTTCATTTTTTTTTATTTTTGAATTGCTCCAGTTTTAAATTTACTACGTAGTATTATTTTTCTCACTTTTAATATTTACCTAATTGTTCTCATCTTTTACAGTTTTTAATAACTTTTTTACATTTTTTACTACATAAAACTAACGATAAGTATTCCGTGCAATTCGAATTAATTTGTCAAACGATAATGGAGCTGCGATTGAGACATTGCATCGCAGTGCACTCGTTAGGAGAAGGAATTTTAGTAGACCGTAGGTGTATTTCATATAGTGGTCTATTTATGAAATGAATTTTTAAAGTAGTTTAGTTTTGAAATAACTTTCCAAAGTTGAAAAAAGTGATATTATTTTCACTTTATAGTCTACTTGTGAAAAATTTCCATTATTTTTTCGTATGCAATCTACAAAGGCCCCATGCAAATTATACTGTACAATCGGCTATGCGGTGCTCACCGTACGACCGACCATTTTTGTAATTAAATCAGGGCTCTGCAACTCATCGGCGAAGGACAGCGGGTCAAAAGTCGAGTGATGCGAACGGAATCTGAAGCACACGACCAGGAATGAGCTGATGATGTTGGGATAATGCTCGTATTGTACAATTGAAGCGAAATCATGCTTCAAAATAGGTATAGTGCTTTGTGATTCACAATTCAGAATCAGAAGCATACATCCATTATTTGTGAGTATAATAATTGAAGAATGCTTTTGTTTGGAGGAACCACGTTTTTAGCCGAATCAAGTTTTGGAGTATTGGAGGCATATTTGAAACCAAGGGTTGGACTCGGGCCGGGTGGCACGACCCGGAACCGGCCCGGGACCAGTACTGTTCCGGCCCGGCCCGAACCGGTGGCCCGGTCAGTGACCGGTCCGGGTAGGCCCGACCAGGTGGGTTTCCGGTCCGGACTCGGTTCACCCATAACAAGGCCCGGTTCGGGTCAAATTTATTTATTTTTTTGGTTTTTTTCATTTGTTTGGGCTCCACCGGGTTGGGCTTGATGTTTAGGAGGGGTTTGGGGGGTGGGGGGGGGGGGGGTCAGGGATGGGTAGCTAAGCAAAAAAAAAAAAAACAAACCTGAGGCCCGGCCCGGACCGGACTGGACCCGGTGGCTACCCGGGCTGGTCCCGGGTCCAGCTATATAGAACCGCCGGCCCGACCCGGCCCAAGTCCAACCATGCTAAAAAGAATGAACATACATAAGTAAGTATTGAGCATATTAGAAATGAGTTTTATGTTAAACATAAATGAGCGTAATTCTCAAAATGAATGAGCATACACAATTGAGCTTTTGTATTTTTTGATACTCATTTTGTAAGTTATGTATACTCATTTGATATTTCTTTATGCGCATTTTAAAATGTTGCACATTTCAAACGTATGATACGATTCATACTACATTATGTTAAACACAAATGAGTATATATAAGCCCAAAATGAATGAACATACAGAAATTCAGTGAGTATAAAACCTGAAAGGAATGAGCAAACAAGAATGTATACTCGAGCACGCTATATGAATATATACTCAATAGAGGGGTTTAATGCTCAATGAAAATGTGTTGATACTCAACTAAAAGAACTTATGATTTTCATATTAAAAGAAAAAATAAGAAAAATAAAGTGAATTACAATATATGAAGTTGATATCACAATACTCATTATTCGACTCTTAATGCTCAGTAGAATACGTCTGATGCTCATTAAAAGTGTATTAATGCTCATCTAATGAAAACCGCGATTTTCACTGAAATTACGAAAATGCCATCGTTTTTAGTTGTGATATCAGCTTTCTTGTAATGACACGGTTCTCATTGTTACACTCTTAATGCTCATTAAAATTGAACTATTGCTCATTAACAGTACACTAATGTTCAGTTAGCAGAAACCAGTTTTCACATAAATTACAAAAATGTCACCGACTATATAGTGCTCACTGTACAGCCGGCTGTACGCTGGACGGACTCAATGAGCGATGGTGATGATTGTCTGACTAATTATATGGTACAATCATATATTTTTAATTTATATATAATGAGCATGTAGTTATAAATCTAAAAATGAAATTAGTATTGATATTAAATTATAAAATTAGTGCATAAATAAGTTTTATGATAATACAGTTAAATGAATATTTTATTCTGTATAATACGAAGAATAGTTTTAGTCACATTAGAACAAATAATTATTTGTTATTTGTATTGCGCATTATAATACAATTTCAGATAATTTTATTTCTTAAATACATATTACAAAATGTCACATATTTTTTCCCATTTAGAGTTTTGAAGTTGTGATTCTCTTAGTTAAAAATGCTTAAAACAAAAAAATGAAATAAAACCACCTAAATCGAATGAGTATAAATAGGACTTGTTTAATTCTTTAAATAAGGAAATGACAAGTGTGAAATGTTCACTCTTATCAGTAGAACATCAAGCTCATCTTATTCTTGTAATCAAACTCCTGAACAAATTATGTTCTTGTAATCAGACAGATGACTAGATTCAATATTGTTGACAAATTATGTAGAATCATTCCTAGATGATTCATCCTCAACCTTGCCTAGTATAAGTAGGACTTGTTGAATTCTTTAAACCACTCAAAAAATTTCATATTAAGAAGAAGATAATATTCAGAGCTTATAATTGATATAGTTGTCTTATAAATCTAATTTTCATCTTCTTCATTTCATAAAAGTTTAGAGATTACACTTGAGCAAGGTTTGCTAATATATTTCGATTTAAGTTCTCATCAAATTAAACCATCTGTGTGGCGATGACATGTTGTTGATGTGGCGTTGACTGGTTGCTGATGTCAACGATGATTTGAATATTCACATGGATTGTTTTGTTTAGCGTCATTCAAACTCCTCAAACCGAAATGATTCTTTTAAGGTGACAACTCCGGTACCTTTCTAAAAAATGGAGTACCGTACCTACTATTCATTTGATTGGACCACACTACTTTATTATTTTTAATTTAGATTTAAGTAATTTAACTGCTACATTCTCATTAGTCCATGTGGACAAAGATACGATACCTTATGGGTACCATAGAATCTACCTTATTTTTAGGAGGGAGTATATTTCTCTCTCCTATGCAGCCATTTTTGTTCTCTTTTAGTTTTAAATGTTATGTACTAACGTTTGTTATAATACGTATTCATTATTCAAAGTCGATCTATTGTAGCTATTTAGTACTAGTAACATTTTTTTAGTATTTTATAAATATGTAAATTAATTACAAGCATAGCAAACGAAATGTTTGATGAGGCTCAAGTCTTAAGGGTGAATTACCCCATTTATACTTGCCACTTACTAGGTTCCACACTTTCACATTTCACTAATGACATGCATGCATCAAGGAAAAAATCAGAAAAGGAAAATATGTTACAAACACAAATTTTATTCATGGGGAGGTGGAGGGTTGGCCAACCGGGCCCCGACCTAGCCCAAATTTTAAAATTGCTTATATTTTTAATGTAAAATTTATGTGAAAAAATTTATCTATAAAAATTCTTGTATCAACCCAGCCCAAGTCATACTATTGGCTACGCCCCTCGTTACAGAGTTACCGTAACGAGGCGGTAAAAACATTGGATGGATGAAACACATGTAAGTAATACTTGTACAAACAGTGAGAGATGAGATTCTGAATGGTACCAACTACCAATTATTTAAATGAATCACTAAACAAACACAAGAGAAGCTAGAAATTAAAGCTATTGACCAAAGAGTCTCATGCCATAATCATCAACTAATAAACTAATAAAGCAGGGCATGCAGGCCTCTCTACCTCCAGCTGTAAATTAGCTCTGCTCCTCCTTATCTATCTCTTGGTCTTCTTCAGAACTCAGAAACAGGCATCTAAGAGGCAGCAACAACATAGTGCAGCCAAACTACAAAAATGCATTTTATAATGGACAATTTAATAATGACTATATATGCTACATTGGTTATAATGAGATTGGATACAGTGTATTAATTCAAGAGCTAAGAAGTCTAAACACAACAAATAAACTATTCCACAAATGGCAATCCATTCCACAAATATACTATGACTCCAAACTAGAAAATTTTACTACCAAATTCTTATGAGTGTTATATTGACAAATGAAAGAGGATCTTTTATACAGATCTAGAGATCAAATGGACAAGAGTATACTATCTATATACCCCTAAGTCCCTAACTTTGGCCAATCTTTAATGCAACAATATCTTAATGGCCTGGCAAACATTTGAATAGTGGTGGTGCCTCATGTTAGGAGAAGCAAAACTTGGAAAAACTCTACCGGGAGGCCAAAGTTTCATATATCAACATACTTTTTAATAATTTATCAATGTTTGTACTTTAATTTGTTCACTACACTAAGAAAATCTTTGGTGTAGCCGTTGCCCCTCCAATCCAGCCCTTTCGTTTTCGTGCCTCTCCCAGTGTACCGTGTAATAATACAACGTCCAACAGAGCCAAGCGAGAAAGTCAATTAATCAACCATGAACACATTTTAGATTTGTTTTACTAGATGAACACATTTTAGATAGAGCATAGACCTGTAAACATTTTCATGTTACATTCACGCGTGACATCCATCTATCGGAAAGTGAAAAGTTAACTACTTTTCATCAACCAATAAATGCATGTCACACAAGAATTTACCAAAATACGGAGTAATATAGAATGTCAGTGACGTACTATGGATGTTTTTATTTGGACTGTTTTCATTCCCCGACCAAACCAGACCACTCTTAAACATATGAGACCAAACTAGACTTAAACAGATCAGATCAGACTAAACTTAAACAGACCAGACTTGATTTACGTAGTTATAAATTATGGTCCTTCGTGTAAAAACATCCTATGACGCACAAAAGTTGCTGATTAAATAGGCATGCCTCCCTATAGGTGCTTGGTATAATCAAAACAACAAACAAAGCATGAAACCATGCAATCCCCTGAATATTGAACGGTTATTAGCGGTGGGACATACCATCCTTCCAAACAACCAGAGTTGTTGGCTGGTTGCTGTGGTGGAGGCGGAGGCGGAGCAGTATACTGTGGAACATACTGTGGTGGGTATCCTTGGGGAGGGTACCCCTGAGGAGGGTACACTTGGGGAGGGTACCCTTGTGGGGGATACCCTTGTTGTGGGTAACCTTGTGGGGGTGGGTAGCCAGGTGTTGCATCTTTGTTGTAAGCAGCATCTTGCTGGGGATAACCTATATAAATTTATTGAAATTGGATCCATAAATTAAATCTTGATTATTTGATAAGATGAAAACCTATGCGTTTGGAATAGAAATTCATAAGGAAAAAAAAACAAATTTTGTTGATACCTTGAGGAGGAGGAACCCCAACAGGTGGTGGTTGTTGGCCCTGATTATAATAGCTCATTATATTTTATTGTACGGCGAATCCAAGGATTGTGTAGATGGAGATCGAATTGGCACTGCGATTAGCTTCAGATCAGATCCGATTCAAGTATCTATATATACTCATTTCCAAAATCAACTTCTCATAATTAATCTCATATACGGAGTAATGGCCGGAGTATCAGTTAACTTAAAACCTGTGCATAATTTTGTTTTGATTTTTGAGTTGCTCCTTATATTATACTCCTACCGTTCCTAATTAATTTGCAAAATCCAATTTTTGAGATAAGCAATTTCATTTTATTTATTTACATAATTGGAATATCAATTTTTAATTATATTTAAATTTATCCGTCGTAAAGGGGAGCGGCCGTCTCTAGGTTTTATGCCTAGCAGTTTGTACCGGCGATAACCTTCGTTACCAGTCCGGTGAGACTTCCATACAGGGATCTATTTTGCGGCTTCGTGGTGTCATAGGAGAACGCTCATCGAGACAGGGGTTGGTTTGGCCGCTCATCCGTAACACGTGTGTGGTGAAGGCCTTCAGCAGGCACCGTGATCCGATTTCATAGGGCGAAGTGGCTCGCATCAGGCACCCTAGGCTTTGTGAGATGTCTTTGGGAACGACGAATTCATTCATCGGCAATGAAGACAATGGCGGATAACAAGGCAATGAGATTCATGAGGAAGGCGAAAAATCCAGGATCAGAAAAATTCAGGGCCGGTAGCGGCGTTCTCATACGGGCAAAAGAAGACAAAGAGATGTTGATCCGTCCCCATCCCAAACCGCCGCCATGGAGGAATTGTGTGACTAGGGTTTGGAAGATTATTTCTGATGGAGTATTAACTCCTAGAGAGAAGTGTTATAAATGCTTGATATTAATGATTTGTGAGAACTAGAGTATGTATCTTGGATTGAGAGCTTACTAGTTTGAAATTCCACGAGAACGCCAAAAAAGTTTATGTATGATTACTAGTTATGAAAGGACTAACCAACACTCTTAACACTTTTATCCACACTCATTTGACGTGACCCAGTGGTGCAAGATTTTAGCACTCTTCCCGTGTACGCGAGTGCTCGGAATTCATAAGTCTGTTTTTCAATATAATGTCAAAAAATACACACTATTTAAAAATAATGATAATAAATTAATAATTTAGCTCAACATGTCAGTCAAGTTCGTAGTTGGGATCCGCTAGACGCTATTTACGGGTCTTTTCACGGATGACTCGCCCCTCCAGATTGAAGTTTGATGCTATATTATTAAAATATTTCATTTATGATTTTTTTTGTAAATCATCTTATCAAATTTATTGCTGGAAATTAATAAATGGAAGGAGTTTTGGAACACTTAGCTTTAGAACGAGAGAGGCCAGAATGCTTTTCCGAGAATGCACCCTATCATCGTTGGTGGGAATTAATTTTGGCCTTTTGCAATCTTGGCCCATCCATTTTAACATAGGGCAGATTCTTCTTCCGAATGAAGCGGTCATACAATTTGAGATTTATCTCATGAAATGAGTGTGACAATCAGTCAATGAGAGACCACCAGCGACCATCAGCTTGCGGACTCCAGCTCGTATCGGCGAAGAGAAGAGGGGTAAAGTGCCCCGTCCATCTGTCTTCATTGCTTGCTGCGAAAATTCTATGTTGCTGCTTGGGTCGGGAGCGAAGCTCTTGAGCGGCCATTAATGGGGGAAGTTCTCAAGCTAACGACGCTGAAACCTAGGCATAGAACCAACCTGCTACCTGAGTCAGCTGTAGAAATCGCCTGTTAATTCTACATATGACCGGAGGAACGAGCCATGGACGGCTGCTCTGTGAAGTAAGTGGCCGATCGGCAGAGAGATCCAGATGGCTAGCGGCGGAATGAGACCCAGAGCTGCTGTAAATTAGCTTCGGGCGATTGCGCCTAACCATGGCCTGGATGACGGCGATGACCTGGAGCAGCAGCATACCCGCTTCCAGATCAATTACTTTTTTCTTCATTTCTCTTTCGTAGAATTTCCAGAACAGCTTTGGCTGGATTTTTTGTGATTCGAATGAATTTCTTGATATTTGGGGAGAGGTATCCCACTTGATTTGCTCAAAACTCTTAATGAAAACACCATTGATGAAATATTAACTCCTAGAGAGAAGTGATAGCTAGAGAGAGAAGTGGTATAAATGCTTGATATTAATGATTTGTGAAACCCCTACAACTACTCCCAAAGGGAGTATTTATAGAGGAAATTAGGGCTGGGCTCCCAAGTCTTGGGCTTGGGAGGCCCATTTACAATTAGGCCACTATTGGGCTGAGTACAAAATATGTAGAAGTAATTAAGTGCGGAGTCCGGTTCTGGAAGCTCTTTGTGGCCGACGAGGGTCTGGCCGACGGAGCCATGGCCGACGGAGACCCGGCCAACGGGGACACCCGGTTCTCCTGGCTTCTGGACCATGTTCTGAGTTGATATCTTTCTGGGCGATGGAGGGTCATCTGGCCGACGGAGGCCCCACTGGGTGACGGTTGTGCCTCTTATTCTTCTGAGTATGTGGGTTCTGGGGTCCAAGCCCATATACTCCATCAATTTCTATTTCTGATTTAGTTTGGTACTTTGAGTTTCATGTTGTTTTGTTTGTGATGTACGTTTATCTTTGCCAAACTCTTGCATTAGGTTGGAGTTATGAGGGGTTTACTCTAACCATGTTAGGCTCATGTAGACCCATTATAGGATCAACGAGCTATATTGATTTTTCCAGGGTGATTGGTTCTAAGCCTGGTTCGAGGGTCGGTGGTTGGAAGTGGTCCTTTTATCGTCTTGTTCCCTTGTTGAATGCTTTGATATCAATTTAAGCCGGCTTTTTCCACACAAAAAATTAAATTTAGATTTTACAACTTTATAGAGATTAATTTTAATGTAATTTTAGAATAATTTTTTTTACAAGAAGAAAGCTTATTCAGAATATACATTTTAATTATTGAAATTCAACTAATATCAATATGAAAGATTTAAATTTAAAATTGACTAACAAATAAATATTGATTTTACAAATCAATTTGAGACCGTAGTATTAGAATAAAAAGTACTAATAACAAAAAGTAGTGTACTATACTAGTGACATACTCCCTCTGTTCCTAAAAGAACTTCCAACCTTGCTTCCATTTTCGTCAATCCAAAAAAGAGCTTTACTTTTCCTTTTCGGCAAAAAATTGTGATTCACATTCATTCTTACACATTCCAATACATTTCTTTCTTCCCTTCACAACTCTCCACCACACAATATCTACCTTCTTAATTCGTGTGCCATTTGTACTATGGAAGAACTTTTAGGGACGGAGGGAGTACTAAGTATGTCAATTGTCAAAGAATACATTTTTTATCTATAAAGTAGTTTTAAGAACTTGAAACATTATGTTAGGAAAAAAATATATTTCTAGAGGTAATATATTTCTAGTTGCATTCACCAACCCAGTTCACAGATCAGGATCTAGAAATTTAAATTGAACAGAGTTTCAAATAGTGAATATATTGGATTTACAGAAAAGAAAGATCAAAATAGAAATAAAAAAATGCATAATTTCAAAAGATTAGTACTATGTTTCCCTATATGCGGGTAAATAAAAAGTTTTCATGATGGGTTATATATTATTAGTATTTAATAAAAAGTTAAATAATTAGGTTGATAAACTAAAAATGCGATATACTATGTATCATACAATGAGCCCACTAGTATTGGTGATATGAATTTTACGTTATGCAAATAATAGCATCTCACCAACACTAGTGAGCTCATTGTGAGGTCATTGTGTAATTAAAATTATTCTATAATATCATAGTCGTAATTTTTATCGTACACGGTAACACAAAAAAAATGAATACTCCTAAAATTACATAGTATGGATGGTAATATCTTATCGAGTTTACCAACAACACTATTTAATCATTAGTAATAAGACTTGATCTCAACTTAGGAGTAAAAACAAGATCAAAAGGCAAAAAAGAAGCTGTAATTTAAAATTATCAAAACAGATTTTTTTTTTTGTGATTGGACTAAAATACTCATGTATGGGTGCATGTAGGGCTGGGTTCGGTTCGGTACCCGAACCGACATTTCGGTTTTCCAAAAAACCATATCCGAAACCGAACCGTTCAGAGAAGGGTACCAAATTATTGGTTTCCGATAATTCGGATCGATTTACCAAGACCCGAATCAAAAACCGACTTTCAATTTTTAAACAAAATATTTGAACTTTTCAATACACTAGGCCAAAAAACTTTCAAAAGTGCATGCCCAATTTCAGCCCAAGCTTTCAAAGTGCAAGCCCAAATTCACTTTGCCAATTAATCTCACCGAAGTTTCGAACACGGGACGTCCGTGTCCCCGAATTAGCTTGGCAACCATCGCACTAGAGAGCTTTGTTTGTTCTTTTGGACTGCGTATTATTTATATACATTTAATAAAGACCATTAACTATAAAATTCATTATAATTATTATTAATAAAATGTCAGTTCGGTTCGGTTCAAACCGATATATTGGCACTATAAACCGATTCCGAATCGTTTTTTTATCGGGTCCCAATTTTCGGGTCCCAAATTATATCGGTTCGGTTCGGTTTGGTTTTTTCCCAAAGCGGTTCCGTTTTTTTTCGGTCCAGTTTTCGGTTTTTCGGTTCAAAATGCCAGCCCTAGGTGCATGTATTAGCTACCTAGCCCACTGCCCGGTCCATGGCCGCCCGATACCACCCGCCGTCGTCAGAGCTCTGACGTTCGTCGGAGATCTGACGACTGCCGCCACCGACATTCAGATTCTTGCTGTCGATTGCCGTCCGCCGCTGCCATTTGCCGGAGTTTCGGCGGTATTAAAAAACCATGATTTTTCTCTAGTCCGCTTGCTGCCACCGCTAGTTGCCAAAGCTTCTCCGCCTCAATCACCGCCGTACATCCCCGCCACCAACAGACTGACCCGGGTATCCAGGAGAACTAGGGGGTAATTTATTAATTAATACATGAGTAAGAAGGGTAGAAAATTAATGTTTACTCCTATTTATGAAAGTTTAGGAATAAACTCATATTTAAGGAAAAATGTTACTCTGTATATTTTACTCCACTTCAATTATTAGTTAGTAATAAGCATGGTTATCGTTCCTTAAAAGCATTAAAAAAGCATGATATTTTTGCACTTGGAATTGGATTTTCGGATATTCGATTCTCACTACTTAATATTCCTAAGAACAATCAATTGTATGCATAAAAAAGC